CTGGACAGATGTTTCATCAGCCTAGTGTGGGAATCATCGGCAGTAATCACCTACTACACTGGGGTTCGAACCCACGACCTTCCGGTTACAAGCAAGCAAGCTCGTGTAACATTCAGCCACTGGGACCCGATTCAATGGCTAGCCCATGAATTCTAACTTCTACCAATTCGTGATATGGCGTGACCACCAACCAATGTCGTCGCTGGGACATCCATCCTCACACGTGACATCTGGATGGAACTCACTGGTCATGACTTCTCACTAGAACTCCAGGAAACTCCATCCTGTAGAAAGTTACTAGCGAGCATCTAACTGATATCAATCCGTGATCAACTCGTTAAAACAAATTTAATCCCTACAAACCAACTCTTGAAAATTAATCTGATTCTCGCTAGTGACTTGCTACAGGATGGAGTTTCCTGTAGTTCTAGTGAGAAGTCGTGACCAGTGAGGTTCATTCAGTCACTTGTGGGGATGGATGTTCCACTGGTGGCAATGGTCGGCGTCGCGCTAAATTACGAATTGGTAGAAGTTAGAATTCATTGGTTTGCGATTGAATCGGGTCCTAATGGCTTAATGGTATACGAGCTAGCTTGACTTGTAACCGGAAGGTCCTAGATTCAAACCCCAGTGTAGTGGGTGCGTACTGTCGATGATTCCCAAACTAGGCTGACGAAACAGCTGGCTGTCCAGTACTCCCTGGTTGGTTCTCAATGGTGATCAACTCGTAAGATCTTAAAAAATATACTTTCATAAATCAAAAACTCTTACTTAGTACAATTCTTATCTCCCATCTAACCGACTACCCTGTTGAATTGATCACCAAAAACAATTTCATGCTGCCGTCAAGACTTAACAAAAATAAACACTATCAATTAAAACTATAAATAATAATAACACCTCATGTAAGCAACACTAAAATTAGTTAGCGTAAGTGTAAACATTTCACTTGTTACATTTGTTTATTAAAGTTATCATAACAACAGTCATCTGCACAGTTTATCTGTTGTTGCTTTTTTAAGTTTTATTAAAAGAAAATTTTTTGTTTTTTTCATTTTTCAAACAATTTATTCCACTTAAAGATATATAAATTTTAGTTGCAAAATGTATTACAAGTGTATTTATTATTAACTGTCATCTTCAGACACATCAGTCATGTGTTACTTTTAAATATGGCGCTAACCATTGAACAATGAATAAATGAATATGTATTAGTGTGATAAGTAAAACAAATATAAACAATTAATTTAAGGTCAGCATTCTTAACAATGTATACAATACACATGTATTTGAAAAATAAAAAAGAAGAAAAAAACTATTATTTAAATAAATTTTAAGCATTTTAATATATACTATGGATTTTAAAATAAAATATCCATGTTGAATAATAATCCCACTGTTTATTTTGACCCCAGATGAACTTTGAGGTCAAAATAGGTTATTGTATTTGGTTCTGAGAGTAATACAGGTCCTCAGCAGCGTACTGTCGCTTCATTCTGTTCTTTGTAGTCATTTTATGTTAGCTGGCTCCACGACTGCTGATAAGCTTCCATGTTAGCTTCTTCATACGATCTCCTCCATGTCGTCCTCGTGGAGATGGAGTCCAACTCGTTGTTTCCTATTTGAGCCTCACTTTATGGCCTAGGGGGCGCGTAGCGGAACTCCACTGTCTTATTAGCGTACGTTCGATCTATTACTATTTTCTTATGCATATTTGTTGAGCAACAATTTGTTTTTTGGCGCTGTCTCTGCTAGAGTTCCTTGCTGCATACCCTTTCCAGCTGGCTATCTGATCTACAGTGTAGGGCAAAGAGCGAAGGTGTTGATGAAAGTCAGCAGTAGGGTGTTGGGAGCGCTCTTAGTGATGCGTTTGTCAAGTCTTTAGTCCTGGCTTGAAATTAGTGTTGAAAATACAGGTTAGAATAATGAAGAGGAGTATTCATGAGCACCAAACACTAACAAAACACTTGTGAGTAATCAATTAAACTAGGTGGATTTTATCATATAGGGCTACTGAAGGCTAAGTAGCACTGGATAGCTAATTTCTACTGACTGTGGACTCTTCAGCATTTCATTGACCTAATGTCAAGGATTAGTTCTGTTTACGCGCGTCAGAGGTAAATGGTATTTTCACTCAACCAATAAATGAATGGTGATATGATGATCTTCCAACCCGATTCCTTGTTGTGAATCACCGAAGAATTAGAACCGAGGATAATGATCTTTCGGTCGCAGTAACTCTGGCGCTGATATCTTTTGGTGCCTAGATCTATTCTTATACTAGGATTTGTCATTGTGGAATTCAAACCTAGGATCGGGCTTTTCTGCTGAATGACGCATGATATACACTTCTTCAAGATACTATATTTGACTTCTTGATAACTGAGGATAACAGGTAAAAAGTGAGAATTGATTTCTAATCCTGAGGACACTAAGTGCCATCAAAATTTTGCAATTGTTTCTCATGTTTTTTCAATTCATAGAAATTTATGATAAATGGATTTTTCTGACTGGAAGAGATACATTTTAGTTCTATGCAAGAAAACCACTACAGATATTTGCACTGAAAATAACCATGGCAAATTTTTTTAATGACATCCATTCAGAAACTATTGAAAACCAAGAAGCACAGGACTATTCGAACTTTGCACTGTTGTTCACTCATGACAAGGCAGTCCATGTTCCCTCTCTGGGTTAAACTTATATCAATACTACTGAAGCTAACAGTCTTCTTGCTGAATTATTTAAGATGGTACCATCACTGTTATTTCGTTGGCCTCTCATCAGCTGTGAACAGCCTAAAGAAATTATTAAGTTTATGAACAGAATAATTTTAAAGTTCTACTTCTTCCAAATGTAATATGATATAATTTGACAGGGGGTTCCAGACTTAATGAACAATACTCAGAAAATTACACTTATATATTTAGTTTTTACACAGGCAGTTCAAGTTTAAACAAAGTAAATGTATGCATATAATGGTAGAGGAGTTGCGTGATGAAGGTGTAATAAAGGTGCGTAAGATGATGAGTAACTAATAAATTGGGTAACAGTGTACTGAGTTCAACTTAAATCATAGAAACAAGAGACAAGCGAAATTACACAATATTAAAATGGGCAACGGTTAAAGCCAAGGATTACGTAGTTAAATAGAAGAGAGAATAAAGGCATTCATTTACCACAGTAAGAAAAGATCACTGACTGTCTCCTTCTGAATTCATAAATCAGGTTTCAGGCGTTTGGTAGAGGTTTTTGTTAGCAAGCTTGAAGAGAAATGAACTGTTTTGCCTATTGATAATTTTAAGGAACTTGGCGGTGTCTACCTCATGACCTGTATCGTCAAGACGCCTGGAAATGACACTAGTGAAATCACTTGTTCCCCTGAAATATAGGCTTTTGGGTACATGTCCAGAAAATCAGATGTGTTCCCTTATCTCTTTTCTCCAAATGTAACTGCTGTGAAATACATGTGAATTTGTAAATACAGTTAGAATTAGCGTAAGGAGGGTATCTGTCGAATTTCGATTGCACCAAAGAGCATTGTTGTTCGATAAACGGGAACCAGCTTAGCTAGCTGCAAGATAGGCTATGGCTAGTGACGTACGTCAATATTCTGATGCTTATTCCTGCAGTATTATCACCTTTAAAATCGGGTTGAATGAAGATAGGCTTCTTTTCCTTGTGTGATTTGTTTGGCGCTTGAACTTCCATATCTTTCATGCTTGTTGGTGAATTTCTGAGGGTTTTGTTTCTTGCTTCATTGTCTTCTTGAAGATCAGAAATTCTCCCTCTATTTTTTCTCAAAAGCATATATCCGCTTACTCTATAGAACAAAGTTTTGACTAATGTTATTTTGACAAAAACTATTAAAATGTAAGTATTGTCCATTCCATGTAGGCATTTGGTAAATTGATCTCTGGAGACTACCATTTTCCAGGCGGTTGTATAGCTCGATGTCAAGGAAATGAAACTTTCCATTCATTCACTGTGATCCACTGATCACGTGTACAATCTAGCCATTACCCACACCACGGGGTTCAAACCCAAGGCTAGCGAGCCCGCAGACCATTAAGTCACTGGGACCCGATCCAATGACCCATGAATTCTGACTTTCGTCAATTCACGACATAGTGCGATCGCTAACCAATGTCTTCGGCGAGTATTTGTCCTCATACCCGACCTGCTGCACCCTACTGGTCACGACTTCCCACTAGAACCTAGGTAACTACTTATGTGAATTGGCAGAAGTTAGAATTCATGAGCTGGCCATTCAATCAGGTCCCAGTGACTTAATGGTCTGTGAGCTAGCTCGCCTTGTAACCAGAAGGTCCTTGGTTCGAACCCCGTGCTGTGGGCAACGGAAACAGCCATCTAGTACTCCCAGTGTATTTCTGTAACTGATATCAGCTCATGATGAAATCCTGTAACCTAGAAATGTTTCCTCTCTTCATGGGGTGCTTATCACTCAAGTTTATATTTATACAATTTAAATTCCTACTAATTTATTTGACTCATATTTCATTTTCAAGAGTTGGTTTGTAAGGGTTAGATTTGTTTTGACGAGTTGATCACAGATTGACATCAGTTAGAGAACCATTGAAAACCAACCACGGAGTGCTGGACGGCCAGCTGTTTCGTCAGTCTAGTTTGGGAACCATCAACAGTACGCACCCACTCCACTGGGGTTCGAACCCATGACCTTCCGGTTACAAGCAAGCGAGCTTGTATACCATTCAAACACTGGGGCCTGATTCAATGGCTCATGAATTCTAACTTCTACCATTTCGTGATTTCAGCACGACTGGCGCCAACCAATATCATAGGCCTGGGAATCCATCCTCACTCCCGAATGGATGAACCTCACGACCGGTCACAACTCGAAAAATCAAATCTAATCCTTACAAGCCAACTCTTGAAGCCTAATTATATTTCATTAAAATAATGAACAGCTCACTTTCTTCCTATATTCATTCCATTTAAAATCAAACTTTCTTTTTTAGCATTAGATATTACATGTGAAGAAACTAAAGTTGCCTCTGTTAAAGCTGACCTAATGGCCAATGTAATGATCAGCCTGACTGAGAAGGGTAAGTCGCGATAAGCTGATTTAACAGTAATAAATATTTCATTATTCAGACTATTTACCATTGACATTTGTTGTTGATTTTAAATGATGTAGTCATGTTAACCAATACACATATATTTTAAAGTTTTACGAAAGCTATGAGTATATCCTGTAATGACCAAAAACCAATCAATGCATTCTTTTGTATTGCCTTTCAAACTCCTGTGATATTAGATGGTTAGAAGCAATCGATGAGCAGGAAGACTTGGACCTAGATTTCCTGTAGTCGTCTGTAACTATACCACTGGGTAGCACTGGTTCGAATCTCAGATTGGACATAGATTCCTTCAGTGTTAAAGATGCGCCTTGCTAACTGACTGCTGAGTGCCAACAAGCATGAAACGTAGGTAAGGTTAGGCTTTCTGTTGATTGCCTCCAACCATCTAATATTAACAATTCACAGTGTAGTGCAGTACAATGCATCGTGATACCGAGCCACCTAGCTTGGTTCTGGTGGCCACATTGCAAACTCGACTGATGTCAGAATTCAATCTGCACCAAACAAATGACTAGAGACATGACACCATGTGTCATTAGTGTCCAATCAAAGTAAACCTCTTCGAGTTATACACAGTCCCAACTTATATTTAAAGCAATTAGTTCCCCTAATGAATTTGACAAAATAATATTAAGAGGTAATTTATCTGAAATGTGGAGTAGATTTGATCACATTCTGATCACATGCGTACTTGTCATACATATTTATACAAAAGACAACAGAGGATAAATGAATACATTATGGGTTAAATTGTTTACTGGTTAGGGTCACTGGGAAAAGATAGAAAGATGGCGTAAGCAAGTGACGTAAGAAAAAGCAAAGGAAGAGGGTGAAAATATTAGTAAGCAAATTGAACCCTGTTTAAAAAGTGGGATTACCGAGGCACGTTCAGAGTGATGACAATTATTTTTTGGCTGGAGGATTTCATCATGATTAGCTGACATCAGTTAGATAACCATTGGCAAACCAACTGGGAGTGCTGGACAGCTGTTTCGTCAGCCTAGTTTGTGACTCTTCAACAGCACGCACCCACCACCATGGTTCGAATCCAGGACTTCCTGGCTACACGACTAGCGATATTGTAGACAATTTAGCCACTGGGACTCGATGTCAGATCAAGATGAAATCCTCCAACCGATCAAACAAAATCCCTGAAAAATCAATACTTGAAAATCAATCTGATACTCACTAACGACTGGCAGTTACCTTGGGTTCTAGTGGGAATCGGTTGCCGCACCCTACTAGTGCAGCAGGTTGAAGATGAGGAAGTAACTCATCGAAGAAGACATTGCGAAGTAGTCGCGCTATGTCATGAATTGGCAGAAGTTAGAATTCATGGGTTGGCCATTGAATCGGGTTGGGTCCCAGTGGATTAATGGTTTATGAGCTCACCTTGTAACCGGAAGGTTGTGGGTTCGAACCCCAGTACAGTGGAAGAGTAATGTCGATGATAAATAAAAATGGATATGTATCAATAATCAATCATACTTGATCTCAATTCCTGATTGTCTGTATCTTCTTGTGGAGAAGTTAGCAAACGATTTACAACTGTTGCCGGATACACACATCCACACACACCATTGTATAATGGAGCGTAATCACTGAAAATCTGATGCAAACGTACACTGTGTTTAACAAAAATAGAATAACATTTGCAAAGTCTGAGGTCAAATTTTGATCGAATTTCATGCAATGTTGATGACTGTTTCATGACTCATATGACTGGACAAAGTTTTTAAAGACAAGAGACGGCCTTTTTTGTATATAAACCTCCGTTATTTTGGTTTCGATTAATTTCCCTGAAGAAGTTTAGACTGGTTTGCCAGACGAAATGTTGGAATTACTCATTTCAATTTCACAGAGATTTTACGACTATAATGTTTACAAATATCTACTTCTCACTCGGCACCCAAATATTTGGGAACTATTCGGTCAAATCTTGATCACAGTTCGGGATCTAAGTGGTCTACAGACGACCCGTCTTGGAATCTCAACATCTTCGATTTGATCCATCTTCGAGTTGTTAGTAGGCACAACTGAAAAGTCTTGAAGTAGGAGGTAGCAGCTGTTCAACGTCTATTTGTTTTTTATTGGTTCTGTAACTGATGTCGATTCATGACGAAATCCACAAAAATTGCAAGTATAATAACTGATATCTGTAAGAGTTATAAAAGAAAGCTTGGATAAGTAAGGGATACAGACTAGATGAATACATGCATTTCAATAATTTCTAATGAAGCTTTAAATGTGAAATTTATTCTGTAGAAAAGAGCTCGAACAAATCTGTTAAATACTACACATAAACTCAGTCTTTGCTGTTCTCCGTTATCGGTATGCAAATTTACAGAAGGCGGTGAAATAGGAGTAGCTACCTTAGCTGTTATGTGATTCATATCCATGAGCTATCAGCACCACGAATGTAATTCATCTTGACCACACTGGAGCATAGCTATAAAGAATCTTTCAACCTATCTCCTACAAGAGTAACCAGATTTAATAATGTCTATACAAGTGATCGAGGTCGAGAGTTTTATCCTTCTCAATGCATTTTAGAGTTCTGACTAAGAAAGAGATGGGTGATATAATATAGTTCACAGGTAAACATTATATCTCACAATTAAAGGTAAATTGTGGGAGAAAAATCTAAGAAACATCCATATGACTGGTTTCTTTCATTTAAGAACATTAGTAAATTTACTGATAATGAGTCTACTAGTTAGTCTGACTGACTGACTAGTTTCAATAATGGAACATTGCACAGATGTGCACCAGTTCCAGTTGCCACACTTCACTCCATATAGCACACAAAGCAAGAGAAGAGAGTAAAGAGAGATTCAAAAGAGAGAAAGATAATAAAAATTATGATGAGGCAAAAGGAATAAAGGTATGGAAGAACATCTCATCCAACAGCTGTACGACAATGCTGCATGCCAAGTAATCCACAACGGGAAACTTACGGAATCCTTCGAAGTGAGGACAGAAGTAAGACAAGCTGGGCTGCCTACTATCGCCAATGATTTTCCTGATTGCGGGAGGTAGACAAGATAATGCGACAAACAGCGGGCAATGAGGAAACAGGCATAAAATGGACTCACACAAAAGACTTGGAGGATCTGGACTTCGCCGATGATATATGCCTGATTTCCCACAAACTGGGAGAAATCCAAGTAATGAAAACCAACAAGTTGGCAGAAGAAGCGTCAAAGATAGGACTTCAGGTGAACATTGAGAAAACAGAGGTGATGAAGATTCCTGGGCAAGAACAACAACAACTGACAACAATCAGCATAAATGGGAGGAACCTGAAAGAAACTACCTCCTTTACCTACCGACCTGGGAAGCATCGTTTCAACTACAGGTGGACGGAACTGATGAGGATATCAAAGCAAGAATCGGAAAAGCAAGACAAGCTTTCACTACCCTCAAGTTTGTGTGGAGGTCAACAGCACTCAGCATCAAAAATAAGATCCGGATTTTCAACTCCAATGTAAAGTCAGTCAGTGCTACTATACGGATCAGAGACTTGGTGCGTCACAAAGAGCACTTTGAGCAAACTACAGACATTCATCAACAGCCAGCTGTCTTCGCTCAATACTACTCAAGATCAGATGGCCAGAAAAGATCAGCAACACGAATCTCCGGGAGCGAACCAACCAGGAACCGACTGTGAAACAAATTGGTAGGAAGAAATGGAGATGGATTGACTGGCCATACTCTGAGGAAACAAACCATCAAGTGACATCACTAGACAAGCCATTGCTCAAGTAGAACCCGAAAGGGAAGCGGCAAGTTGGTCATCAGTGCGAGGGTGACATGGAGGAGGTCATGTGAAGAGGAGATGAAAACGTGTGGGCAGACTTGGAGCCAGGTGAAGACTCTAGCAGAGAACCGAACGCAATGGAGACGCACGGTTGAAGCCCTATGTTCCTCTAGGAATTAAAGGAAACAATAAGAAGAAGAAGAACAACAACAGAATCTTATTGGATATTATAAATCAAAATTAGTGAATGCATCTGCGCCAGCCATCACCCAGAACTATTCTGAGCCATATCACCAATTGCTGTCTCCAGCCTTCATTGGTTCTTACCATCCCGAGGACTTCAACCAGGTAGGTAGGAAGTCTACACCTCCCTACATGACTGACTGGCTTAAACTAACTGTTATTAATTCCGTTGACTGATGAAGACATGTTTCGGTTTGACCACCACCAGCTGCTTTCCAACCTGATCTATCCCATGTCAGTCAGCTAACAGTGCTCGTTGTCGAGAAAGGCGATGGCTAGGCAGGTACGCGTAACACATCCTAACCATCTCAATCGATGTAACTTCACAATCTCACCGATTGATTTCCCCTCCATTTCACCTAGCACTCGACCAATGCCTGGCCTCAATATTGCTCACTTTATTATATCGCTTAACACGGGAGATATAACGTGGACACGTATAATCAAAGACAGCTAGCCGCCTTTGTCGTATCTCCCAGTTTCAGTGGCCAGCATATCTTAAAGCCAGCCATAAAGGAGGACAGAGCGAAATACTGAGCAGTACACACGTCTGTTGGTTGACAGCCAGCTGAACGGATATCACGTCTACTAAGCCAGAGATAGCGTAAGTTGGCATCCTATACGGACACCATTGAATGTCACCACTTCAGATGACAACTCTCCATAGGCTCTCACCCGGCTGCAAGAGTTTGAGTAGAATGCCTCGGTCAATGCGATATATTCTCGCGGCACTCCCCTCGGAGACAAACATGGTCATGTTGAGTAAACGGTTGCCTCATTAGTCCCCTACTTTTCTGATCACTGCAGGACACAACATAATATAATCCCTTAATGTGTTGTTTTATGGATCCTGATAGTTGAATTTCCTAAACTTTCCTACATTTTAGGTTATCGAGTGAAAAACCCTGAATTTGTACATTACAACTATGAGCATAAAACATTGTAAGTCTTTGAGTTTAATATAATTTTTGAATATATATGTCGATATATGAATACTGTTTTCATGTTTCTCCTTATATATGTACGGTTACTAAGATGCTATTACTAGTTAGTTATTGGAAAAATTGTGATATAACATTTATTGATCTAAATTTGTTCATCGATTGTACATTCTTTGATAGCATAGGATCTTTTTGTTCACATCATTTGACAATTGTATATTATTGATGGGTATGAGTCTCAGTGAGAACAGCATCACTCAGTGTAAAGCAGACAGATGAGTATGACGAGCTCCATATGGGACGAAATTTGCCTGAATTCTACTTTTAGACACTCACTAAGTCAATTGATACAACACAGTGGAATACTGCAGGTGTCAGTTAACTGTCATGTGTTTCTAACTACCTACAGGTTTATCCTCGCAGTTTGAAAGGATTTGACTCTGAGTTGAATCTAACCGAGCACATCGATGATAAGCTTGGTGCCAAACGTGAGAAATGCTCGTGAGATGTTTGAAGTACTGATATCTGACGTGAATAGTTTCCAACTACTCATATCCGTTAATCAGTAGTATAAGTGATTACACAATTTGCAAGTATTGGTTTTGTAGGGATTTGGTTTGATTGCATGGAGGGTTTCATCATGAGCTGACATCAGTTAGAGAACCACTGGAAAACCAGCTGGGAGTACTGGACTGGATTACACAATTATATATTTACTATTTTTGTTATCAATATTTTAATTCCATAGTAGTTTTTTGCTGATGTTTAAGTACATATCGTTGAAACATCATCCAATGAATTATACTTCGTCACTGCGTGTTGTGTGGTTGCCGAACTTGGAGGGACACACTGCCACTGTACTTACTTTTCTAGTTACATTTCATATCTTCATGTATATTTACCCACTTACATCTGAAGTGTGACTTCTTACCATTTTTATTACTCTGGTTCAGACTTATAAAATAAAAGTCGATCACCTATCTGTTTGAATAGGACCATTCGCTAGTGATAGGTAAGTAGTTACCTAGGCCCTAGTGAGAAGTTGTGGCCAGCGGGGTATAATAATTCAAATGTGAGGACAGTTACTCGTCAACGACACTGGCTGGTGGTCGCATTATACCGTGAGCTAGCAGGAGTTAGAATTCATGGGCTAAACATTTGATGGGGTCCCAGTGGCTAAATGGTCTACGAGCTCGCCTTGTAACCGGAAAGTCCTGAGCTCGAACCATGGTGGTGGTGCGTGCTGCTGTAGAGTCCTAAACCAGGCCGAAGAAACAGCTTTCCAGTACTCCTAGCTGGTTTCCGATGTCAGCTCATAATGAAATCCTGTAACTATTCAGCCTTATTTTGAACCCAGCTTTCCTAAACATGTCTTTCATCCCCTAGACTATAAGCCACACTTATTTTGTGCAGGCTGAAGATACCAACTAGAATTTTCAGGCTGAAGTAGGTGAAATGAGACTCTAACTCAGGACTCACTGGGTTCAGTGTCATTCAGTACCATAATATACCGTTCCCCCCCCCCCCCACCCCCTCTTCATTACGGCATGTTGCATATAACGAAGTAGGTAAAATGTTCATTTGAAGACGAACATCAGAGCTCTATTAACTCACTGGGTTTTTCATTTTTAATATTTGTTGATTGTTTAAATCGTTGTTGTGATAAACGCTGATGACTAATAGTTTAAGACAGGAAGATGCAATAATTACATTGTCCATAGAGAATAACACCCACTGTTTGGACACAGATGATGTGGACTACTTATGGCTAAAAGTGATGTGGTTTTATACGGACTGGACAAACTCAGTTATATGTATCATTAGGCCTAAATACTATTTCATGGAGGATTTCATTATGAGCTGACATCGGTTAGAGAACCACTGGAGAACCTGGGAGTACTGGACAGCTGTTTCGTCCTAGCTTGGGACTCTTCATCAGTACGCACCCATCGGGATTCGAACCCATGGCCTTCTGGTCACAAGGTGAGCTTGTAGACCATTGAGCCACTGGGACCTAATCCAATGGTTTTTGAATTCTAACTTCTGCCAATTCACGACATAGCGTGACCACTTCACAATGTCTTCTTCGATGAGTTACTGCTGCATCTTCAAACTGGGTGCGTACTGATGAAAAGTCCCAAACTGGGACGAAACAGTTATGCAGTACTCCCTGCAGGTTTTCCAGTGGTTCTCTAACTGGTGTCAGCTCATGATGAAATCCCCCATGCAATCAAACAAAATCCCTACAAAACCAATACTTGTATATTCTCTTCACAATCTTACCGCATTCATCACTTTTTTGAAATTATCGTGTTCTACTTAAATACAATTTAAGTAGTTTCCAAAGTATGATATAAAATTTAAGTAAGTTGAGTAGAAGGTATAATTGGTATTTCGATCACTTAGGAAACCGGGACCCATGCTTGAAATCAGGGTTTTTCAGCTCCTCAAGTTGGACCCGCCTGTTCAACAGTCTGGCTGTGAACGCCAGTGCATGCCCAGATGGTGGTCTTTCGGGTGGAGGACTGAAGTCTGCCCACCCTCGTCTGTACCAGGACGTTTATAGAGGTAAAAGCTGAAAGTAAGCCTTCAGGAAGAGGGAAGACTGGGCCACTATGAGGTTATCAACCACACCCAGTATAGAAAACCCCACTGCTACTGAAATTTCAAAGGATGACTCTTGAAGTCCTACTTAGTGTACTCAAAACGTAAACAGAATCAACACATTAGCTCACAAAGCTAAACATGTCAGGTATATATTATCACAGAAGATATATTTTGTTAAATAATTCATTCAGTTTTCTTTCCTCTCACTTTTTAGTTCACGAAAACTGAAAATCGACGATAGTCAAGTTGTTGAAATTCGTCAAGTTCCATGGACTGCAACTCCGGCTACAATAGCTCATTATTTTGCTGGTCTTAATGTTTATCCCGGGGGTGTAGCTATTCGTTTAACCGATGGACGACGTAGTAATACAGCTATTGTAGCATTCAGTGATAAAATGAATGCTCAACTTGCACTGGCTAGAAATCAACATCAATTGTGTGGTTCATTGATTGGAGAGCATGTAAATAGTACAACAGATGTAAATAACCTACCATTGTTGACCAATCATATTGCGAATAGCAATAATAATAACAGTGGTGCTTGTAATTATAATTATAATAATCGAAGTGAATGCTCAATGGACGGTGTACAATTACAACAACAGCAACAGACTACAAGTACGAACACAAAACCAGTCTACCTACAGATTCACCCAGCTACTGGAAGAGAATTTGTTCAATGTACTGGCTGTAAGTAAAAAGTTTCAGGTGTTAATTTTTCTAGGGAATTATTGACTGATTTAAAATTTGATCAAGAATTGATTGATATCAGTTAGAGAATAATCGAAAACACAAGGGATTACTGCTCCGACCTACTTCAGGAATCTTCAGCAGTATGTATTCATGATCCTACTTAATGGAGATAGAACCCATAATCTTCTTTTCAACGACTAGGACGCAACCCAATGGCCGATGAATTCTAACTTCTGTCAGTTTACGAATTTAACTATTAACGAGTTCTCCTCATAGCTTGAAGGCCCCAGGTTTGACACCTGCTAGATAAGGTCATGCATGCGTACTGTCGGAGAGTCTCAAAGAGGTAGGATGAAACAGCTTCCTAGTGATCTATCGTTTTCAATATTTATCTAAATTGATATAACCACGTTATAAGACATGTCAGCAATATTGTTAAAGTAATACGCATATATGTGCGTCGGTGGCACAGCGGTAGAATGCTCGCACACTAAGCAGATGGTTCGGTGTTCGATACCCGGCCGACGCACGCCCTTACCTCACTAAGCCGGTAGTGAGACTGGTAAAGAGAAAAGGTTGAGCATGAGGCTAGCAACCCCATCCCGTAAAAATAAATACCACTGTTACCGAAACTTCGAAGCACTAGATTGAAGGCCTCGATATGTTCCACTGGGAACGTGAAGGAATAAAAAAAATTCGCACATATGTATTGTTTACATTTATATTCTTGAAGCTGTAAATACTTCCATAGATGGATTATCCCTGTTATTGGAGTTGAACAAAATAAGAAATACAGCAACACATTATACAGGATGAAACATAGTCACACTTTCTTTTGATCGGTTGATATCTCCTTTCAACCAACTGCTTACAACCTGAAAAAATGAAATTCGATAGTAATGTTATTTCAGTTTAAAGACACTTAAATTCTTCGCTATGATCAACCCAGATTTAGGAAAAGCAAATCGCGTGCAGATCAAATAGTGACGCTACGCATCGTCAGTGGACAAAGAATATGAAGCAAGTCAAATTTGCGTCCCAGCTTCATTCACTTCGATAGGGGCCATCGACAGCATTGATCGTGAAGTTGTTTATAGACCGCTTCATCAGCACAAAGAGTGACAATGCTTTATGAATTTCATTCAACAGCTTTATTTATTGATGTCACATGTCAAGTGATTCGTAAAGGGAAAACTAAACGAATCCTTTGAAGTGAAGATTGAATTAAGGCAGAACTGCCAGCTATCATGGATTGCACTCCTGATTGTGGTGCACTGGATCATGCAACAGACCTTGGGGAGGGAGGGAGAAGAGAGGAATGCTTTGAACCGATAACAAGACTCTAGAAGATCTGGACTTTACAGAGGATTTTAGTCTGATGTAATGCAAACTTGAAGATCTACAAGAGAAAAGCAACAATTTGATGGAAAAAGCCGTAAAGGCAGGACTTCAAGTGAACATAAAGAAGATAGAGGTGATGAAGATGTTTGACCGCTAACGACAACAACAACAAGCGCCAATCCTTAACACCCGGAGAAATTTGAATGAAGTCACTTCTGCGTCTTATCTAGGCATCATCATCATCTCAACTACAGGTGGCACTAAGTAGGGTATCGAAGACATACAGGATCCAAAAAGCAGGATGATTCCTCATTTATCTGAAATCAGTGGGAAATCTACTGCACTCAACATGAAGTAAAAGATTCGGATTTCCAACACTAATGTCAAAATGGTGCTTGTATATAGTTTGAAGACTTGGCACGCGTGTCACAGGAAGTAATTCCAACGTCCTGATGTAGATCCTTATCAGTATCTGCTCCTTTCGCTCCATACTAAAGACCAGGTGGCTAGTCGGGAATAGTAAAATATAAAGAACTCTGGCCATTAACCACTGTGGAAGCTATAATCCAAAAAATATACACGAGGAAATGGAGATTCGTTAGAGAACCATTGGAAAACCAGCTGGGAGTACCGGACAGCTGTTTCGTTCTGGCTTGTGACTCTTCGGAAGTACGCACCCACACTGTGGCGTTCGAACCCAGGATCTTCTGGTTACAGGAAGAGCTCGTAGACAGTTAAGCCACCGGTACCTGATCCAATGGTCAGGCAGCCCATGAATTCCAACTTCTACCAATTCATGAGGTAACGCGACCAACAGCCAATGTCATCTGCGGCGAATATTTATCCTCACACCCTACTGGTCACGACTTCCCACTAGTACCCAGGTAACTACCTACTTGAATAGGGCCAGTCGCCAGTAAGCATCTCATCGATATTCAAGTATTAGTTTGTAGGGATTTGATTGATTGGTTACAGGATTTCATCATGAGCTGACATTGGCTAGAGAAGCATTGGAAAACCTGGGAGCACTACAGTGGCTTAATGGCCTACGAGCTAGCTAGCCTTGTAACCAGGAGTTCCTGAGTTCGAGCCCCATTGGTGGGTACCTGCCACTGAAGAGTTCCAAACTAAGGCGAAACAGCTGTCCAGCAGTCACAGCTGGTATTCCAACGGTTCTCTAACCACTGTCAGCTACTGATGAAATCTTCCAACCAATCAATCAAATCCCTACAAACCAATACTTGAAAATGGAGATTCACCGGAGAGTTGGTGAAGAAACCGTTGGGTGACAACACACATCAGACACTTGAGGGGCACGCGAATGAAAGACCAAAGTTTAGGCATCGCTTCGAAAATGACATAGAGGTGATCATGTGAAGAGAAACTGTAAGCTTATGGGAAGACGTCCAGCCGGCTAAAATCAACCCGTACAGAGCGCATAGAAATGGAGTTACCTCGCAGAGCTGCATGTTCCACCCGAAACTCAATGTACCATCGATAATAATATTTCTTCATAAATAAATCCTGTGACAGTAATGTTTAAGAATGATGGTGGCATACAGGAATGGTAAGTTATCAAAGCATCAAATTAATGCTGCACTTATATATGAAATGTGACCCAAATATCACGAGAAAAAGTGAACGAAGCTAGCAAAAAGATATTTTTTTATTCCTTTACGTTCCCAGTGGAACGTAGCGAGGGCTTCAAGCTAGAAGCCTGAAGATTTTGTAGCAGTGATGATTATTTTTACGGGATGGGGTTCCTAGCCTCATGCCCAACCTTCCCTCCTTACCAGTTTCATTACCGTCTTAGTGAGGTAAAGGAGTGCAACGACCGGGGATCGATCCCCGGACCATGTGCATGGCTGGCGAGCATTCTACCAATTTGCCACCTATGCAGCAAGAAGATATCAAGGTACTTAAATTATAAGATAACGAACAAAATCAAAATTTTTTCGTGAATTTAAATAATTATCTTCCATAAAACATGTGGCTCAGGCACAAGACATCAGACAGCATAAAGTCACGCGTAGACTTAGATTTCCTGCTTGTAGTGGTTCAGGACGGTTCAGTAGGAGAATGCACGCCAGTCAGGCATGTGGTCCGCAGTTCAATTCCCATCTGACACAGTACCAAACCTCACTCAGTGTTTACCAACCGACAGTTAGTCTTGAAAACATGGAAGGGTTAAGTGTGAGGCTTACAACTTAACCGCTGTAGGAACTCCAAATATACTTGAAGCTTTATGGTCCATTCAGAATGAAAAGAATAGAGGTGAGGCAGAATTCGCTCATCATTAAAGCAAGAGTATTCCCAACCTTCTAGGAGATTCTACTGTTGAATTTTTATCTGTAGGTAAGGGATTACCACTAACAGGTTCATATTATGTCCTCCTCCTATTCTTAGTGATAGACTGACGCATGAAAAAGCAGTCAAAATGGAGAATAAATGAGGTGAACTGGGCTTCACCATGCTTAAGAAGTCCTTAATTACTATGATTTTTCAAATTCCTGTTTCCCTCAAACATATCCCTTCATATTTTTGTTAATTCTCTAGGTGATCAAGAATGTGTAACAAACTTTTTAAATCAGCTGACCAGTGGAGAACAAGTTGTTGTACGCATACGTGGTCTACCGTATACAACAACTAAAAAACAGATTGTAAGTTTGAAACATAAAATTTAAATGACTCCCTGACAATTCCCTCTCCTCTATATAGTCTGTCTGTTTGTATGCGTGTGTGCGTTTGTATTTATGAGATATCTGTTCATGGAGAGCGTGTATCACTTCTCCTGGTAAAAAAGTAACCCTAGCGAGAAATAAAAATGGTTTCGAGTTTAATTACGGATTGGAATTAGTTCGAGAACCAGTGAAAACCAGCAGGGAGTTCTTGAAAGGCAGCTATTTCAGCACTACACACCCTAAGGGTTTCAGACGCAGAACCTTCCACTTTCAAGGCAAGTTCATAGACCAACCATTCGGGCACTGGAACCCGACTCTAACGTCTACCAGTTCGTGATTTTAGCGAGACTGGTAACAGCCAGTGTCTCACGTGGCGCGAGGATTCATCCTTACTAGCGACTAAACGTGTGGATCCTACTGGTCACAACTTTTCACTGGAATCCTAGGAAACATTGTTCTGCAGCCAGTCTCTAGCGGGCATCAGATTAATTTTCACCAAAGGATCAAATTTAGACTTAACGATTGAGGTATTCCATCAAAACGATACACAACTCAATAACCAATATTATATGATATTCAAAAAGAAATACTTTAGTGTTTCAACAGTCCATACAGTAGGGTAAATAAAGAGAGGAGGGATAATCAAGGATATAAAAGTGAACTCCAAGAAACACCTAATCACTTCCTGGCCTTTATTATAAGTTGTATTCACAGAGTTTTTGTTTACTGTATTTACTGCAACTCATTGGTATATTGCTCAGCTGGATTCGATCCTGAGACTGTTTGTGGTCTATGGCTCAAACACCTGCTAAATGAACATAAGAAAGGCTGATATAGAATAGAGCACATTGGATTTTCAGTATTCTTGAAGTTCCAACCAGGTATTTTACATTTTTCTCCGTTTCGAATGGGACATAGGGCTTCAAGGCTACTTTTTCTGGAGTTTCAGCAGAGGCAGTATTTTCTTTTTACCTTTTACGAGGATAGGGATTACTAGCATCACATATAATCCCTCTGTTTTTCCGCTATTAAGTTAGGCGGCTTATTAGCGCACTAGTGGGAAGTCGAACTCCGATGCATATCTTTCAGCCAATTGAATTATATCACTTCCATATTAGTTTGTTTATTAGATATATCAGACAGTGAGTGAAATAGTATTATTCGCTGGATGACGTTTCGAACACAACTTATTGTTCATAATCATATTATCAGTTATAATCACACGACTTCGAAACTTCAGTTTCATAGTTTTCTTTGTTCTCTCCTAATTGTCGTCGTCGTTGGGGTAGTCGAATTTTCCAGATGTCTGAGTGGACAGGTGATGAATCATTTCTATTACATGTATTTGTAGTTGATTCGATAAACAAAACTTCTGTTATCAATCTCTCCCTTCACCCTGTGACATTAGATTTTAAAACTGTCATCTTATCCCATTCCATCCTGTTGTATGGTTGTTTGTGTGTAAGTGCATGTGATGAGTGCTATAGCTGAACTATTCTCCAGATTTCTTATCTTATTCGGGTCAACCAATCTAGATTTTGTTAGGTTTCTATGCTCGGCTAGCCTGACTGCCGCCCCTATTCCACTACTTTGACCTATGTATTTCACCTGACAATCATTCCAGCAGAGTATTAGATAAATTAAATTGTTTTGTTTTATTGGCTCCACAGGATCCACCATTTAACCGATAAAGCTTGTTTCTAATTGAGTTGGTGGGTTTGAATACCAGCCACTTTTATTCCTGCCTTGTTAAGAATTCTGCATAAGGTTTCCTAGGTTCCTTCTTTGTATGGAGTTACTGCTGATGATTTAGATTCCTTATTGTTGGTGTTGCCACTATCCTGCACATGTTTGACACGTATGTCGTCATTAATATTACTATTATTAATATTAATACTATATAATGATAGTAGTGTTAGTGATAACAATAATAGTAATATTAATCTAATGTGACAGAGTGGAGGGAGAGATTGATAACGGAAGCATCATTTATCGAATCAACTAAAAGAGAATGCCTGTAATAGTAATGATTCAACACCTGCCCACTCAGACATCTGGAAAATTCTACCACCCCAACGATAAGAAATAGGAGAGAACAAAGAAAACTATGAAACTGAAGTTTCGAAGTCGTGTGATTATAATTGATGAAATGATTATGAACAATAATGAGTTATGTTCGAAACTGTGTCATCCAGTAAATAATAATACTGTTTCACTCACTGTGTGATATATCTAATCAACAAATTAGTATGGAATTACTTACTACCACCGTGCCCAAGTTTTACACATATATTACTATGACTTCTATCACACTTAGCACTCAATTACTACTCAGTTCACTATTTTTTTCAGTTTTTTGCATTTTGAGTGGAGCATAGAGGAGCTTCTACGTTTGAGGGCTTCAATAGAGCTGGTGTTGCTAACCCCACCCTACCTAAACTTTCCTCTTTACCGAGGCAACTATCAGCTGGGCTAAGTGTCGGAGTTAGTCAGCTGAGAATCGAACCCCAGCCCCCCTGCCTCCTGTTTGGAAAGCATTTTATCTCTGACCTACCGATGCATACTCTACTCATTAGTAGATTCACAATGAAAGTAATTTCGTAATTGTTATCATTATATTATATTATTACTCCTACGTGCATAGGTATGTTTCGGCTTATTCTTCTGTACTATCTCTTGCTTTTCAGCAGCGCTAACATCGGTTAGACAGTTGTTATATTGTTATGCGCGCACAACAGCGCATTCCACGTCTCATCCATCCCCCTCCACAACATGCACGAATACATTATTATAAATGTAAATCATTGAAAGAAATTAATTGGTGGCAAATTGTGTCCATTTTGTTATGTTTGTTGTGTTTGTGTATTTTCTTGTGTATTACGTAACCGGCTTTCTTAGACAGTGATGTTTATTACATTTATATTATTTTTTTATGAGTTTGATGGTGAGATCTAAGATTTACTTGACTACGTAATATACAAACATGTATGTTATAGGATAACCTGCATGCAACCCACTTAATAATTATATTCAAAAGAAAATGCATATTCGTTTGTAGGTGACTCCTTGTGTGTGTGTGTTTGTGTGTGTGGGCGGGTGAGTGGTTGGGTGGGTGTGTGAGTTCATTTCACTTCCCTTTCTCTAACTTTCATTTCAATTTCTTCTTTCGGATTCGCTTGTGTTGTTTACCTGTGTGTAGTTCTGATTGATTCTTACCTCATTTTGTTAGTTCCATAAAGATGGCGAGTTATCTACCCTGGTGATTGCATTTGGATATTACGACTGATCGATTATTAAATCAAATCTACACACTTTGCAAATTAGCTAACAGTTTGCAATATATACAGTTATAAGAGGTGACTCTTTGAGCTCAGTTGAACCTTCGCTACACCGCTGATGAACTTGACCCCAAATAACAAGCAAAACCACTGTACGGTATTTAGATCACTTTAATCTAGCTAGCCAGCAAACACTACTGGTTGTTGATATGAGTAGGTATACAACTACTCACCTCAATTAATCAGTAGTATACATATTTACGTGTAAAAAATATTGCTTTTGTAATTTCCCTTCAAAGCTGTACAGTTATATATGGTGTACTGAAAGTTTATCGGAGTGGATATAAAGGTCAACTGTTATTATCATTTGATAGCAAAAGGTATACAATTATATTTCAGGAAGGGACAAATGGATAAATTGCGAAATTTAGATGTTATTGTTACTAATTGGTGGATGGTGACTAGCAGTGGAATCAAGCATAACGCGCATTTCGTCCTATTTGGGACTCATCAACTGGATGTACCTGCATTCCCACTGAGACTCGAACCCAGCGCCTAAAGTTTCAAACGAAAAAGCGTTGTGCACTAGGTCACTTGGGCCCTGACAGCCACCTCCTGTCCAATGGGTCAACCTGAGACCGAACACTTTGGTCCAATCAGTCGAAAGGATAATCTAAAATTGAATTAAATTGTTATGATTACTTAGTATTCCCTCAAGTTCCGAGTGGATAATAGGCTTTCATCAGCACAACTGCATTTCATCCTATTCTTTAGGGTCCTCTTTAGTGGGCTCCATGATAGCCTGTTATCCTCCAACCCCTTTTTACACGATCGCCTTTATCTCACACTTGAATTGACTGCGAACTCGTTATTTCCTTTTCAAGTTCCACTCTCGAGTGCCTGGCAAGAGATATCCCTCACCGATCTCCTCCACTATTTGTAACAGCAACAACAAAGAGATACGATACCCCTGAAAACGCGACGCCCGAAGACGAGAAGAAAAGTTTGACTGTTGACGTGAACAGCTTTTACTGTCTCGTATCAACAGCGCTCGCATATGTATATATGTTCTAAAATGACCTTGAGAAACACTAATGACATTGATTAATTAAAACGGTCAACAGTCAATAGAATTTCAAGGTCATAAGTGGGATGGGCGAAGTACAAACAGACATGTGGAAAAATTAGGTCCATCTATATGAATTAGTATAATGTGTGCTATTATTTTACGCTAAAAAATCATTTCCATCTAGCAGAATATACAGTTTAAAAAAATATTCTTGTCGTGTACTCTTGTATGTTATTTTTGATGTGGTTGTGTTCTCTGACCTGGATAGTTAATTTGCGAAGCTTTCATCGCCCCACTAGGCGACATCTTCAGTGCATACTTCAATTTGAAGTGAGCTTTAAGATTTCTCCACGAGATCACTATTAGTCATCTCTCCTCGTGGGTGATCTTGAGCGTGATTGGTTGTTTTTGTGTGTTTTCACATCATCTAGGTTACTTGTGTTGTAACTCATTGTTTCTTTGACTTGAACTTCGACCCTTTGTGTGTCAGGTTTCTTTCTTATCGGTTGATAAATTTTGTCTATCTCGATGTGTCTACTGATTGATGATTCACTGAAATACCAGTCAGGCTCCTAAAAATTCTCTAGCATTCTTGGTGTTTCCTCTGTCTAATATTTGAACGTTGTCCCAGTCGAATTGATGTCCGTAGTTGTCTATATATAGTGATATGAGGGAGTGGATGTCATGCCTTTGACGGCTAGCTTATGTTCGTGGATACGAAGACGAAGGGGACGTTGTCCACTTTGGCCAATGTAGTGTTTTTCGCAGTTTTTACAATTTATTTTGTAGATGATGTTGGTTTTATCTTCTTTCGCTGTTGAGTCTTTTGGTTGACATAGAATTGAGTGGAGTGACTTTGTTGGTTTGTGTACGACGTCAATTCCTAAAGGTTTGAAGAGTCTTGCAGTGATTTCTGAGATATCCTTTATATGGCGATTTTCTTTATGCTTTCCTTGGGGGCTTTTGGTTCCATAGGTTGGCTTGAGTTACAATACAAGTCACCTAGAAGGTGTGAAAACACACGAGAGCAACCAATCACGTCCAAGGTCACCCACCGAAAGAGACGACTAATAGTTAACTCGTGGAGAAATCTAAAAGCTCACTTCATTAAATTGAAGTATGCGCTGAAGATGTCGCCTAGTAGGGCGATGAATGCTTCGCAAATTAACCATCCAGCTTGCTCAGAGAACACAACCACATCAAAATCATCCACCTGAACTACAAATCTTCTCTATCATATCTAACTCTTGTATGTTGCGGGTGTTTGTCGTGTTCGTTGTCTACACCTGGTCATTCATTACTGTGATCATTATTATTACTATTACTATAATCTTATCAAGCATAGTTGTTCAAATATTTTCTTGTATTGTTAATTTGTTCGATCGCCTTGTTACCATAACAATTTGATTTGTTTTGCTTAAAAATATGGTTTTCTGTAGACTAGTCAAAATAATCGGTGTTACAGGATAAACAGTAGTACAATTCAGTCATAGAAAGCTATTTTCATGTAATTTATTTATTTTCCTCTGGTTTGGTGTTTCACTCATTTAAGGGTGGTGTTTTGTGACTACCTACCTACCTACCTATCAATTTTTAATTGCTCCTATTTCTGTGGTTTGCGTTTCGGTGTATTTCAGTACACACACACACACACACACAACAAATATGTGTTTGGTGAAGACAAGAGTTACTATTTGGACAGATACAATTTTATGAGTTTAGAAGAGGAAAAATGATTCAGCGAAGAAGTATTTCAGTTAAGACCACGAACCACTGAAAATAAGCAGGAAGACCTGGACAACTGCTGCTCCATCTTTGTGTGGTAGCCCACCACCAGGGACAGAACTCAGAATACAAAGGTCGTTGACTATTCAACCATTACATGGAAGCTAATTTTTGTGCTCACTAGTGACATTATGATAGGATAAAGTTGTATAAAGTTCTGGTGAAGAGTTGTTATTAGTGGGATCCATCAAGTTAGAGGTATGAAGACAGATAATCGATGATGACAGTAGCTGGCTTTCGTACCACATCAACATATATAACGAATTTGGCAGAAGTTAGAATTGATGGATAAACTGTTGGATGTCATCCTAGCGGCTGGATTTTATCCTCGGTTACTCCGTGAGTCCGTATTGATAAAGAATTCCAGAACAGGACGATGCAACTGTCTGTGGTGAGAGCTGTCTGCAAGCAAAAATTGTAGACAACAATTTACTTCAATATTTACGCCCCGAATCGGGGTCAGGAGAGGAAACAATAACAAAGCTTAACCTTGAGAAAATCACCAACCAATCACAGCAGACTTGACGTGTGCAAATAGAATTCGCAGATATATGGCTTAACTTTCTAAGAAACGGCCACAAAGAGATGACAGAATAACCTTCAGCAAGAAAACAACCAATCAGAACACGTTGCCTCTGTGCTAACAATAACACTAATAATAATGTACATAAAAATCTATAAATACCTGTTGATTTTCTCAATAAACGATCTGCTGCCTGGCCCTTGTCTTTCGTAGTTACATATCCAGTACTCCCTTGTCGTTACCGGTGATTCTCCAACTTCTGTCAGTTATTTTGTGATCAAACCTGAAGTCATTGGAGTTCCTCCAGAAAATAACGCTTGAGAAAGAATATTTACTTTCCAAATGTTCGTTTGCAGCAGGGATTTGATTGATTTTAGGATTTCATCATGAGCTGCCATCGGTTACAGAACCACTAGAAAACTTGCAGGGAGTACTGGACAGCTGTTTCGTCAACTCAGTTCGGGACTCTTCAGCATTACGCACCCACCGACAGGGTTCGAACCCGGGACATTCTGGTTACAAGGCTAGCTAGCTCGTAGACCATTAAGCCACTGGGACCCTATCCAATGTCCAGGCACCCCATGAATTCCAACTTCTGCCAGTTCACGATGTAACGCGACCAACAGCCAATGTCATCTACGACGAGTATTTATCCTCACACCCGACCTGCTGTACTCCACTGGTCACAGCAGTCCACTAGAATCCATGTAACTACCTGCCTGAATAGGGCCAATCGCCAGTGAGCATCTCATCGATATTCAAGTATTGGTTTGCAGGGATTTGATTGATTGGTTACAGGATTTCATTATGAGCTGACATTGGTTAGAGAAGCATTGGAAAACTTGGGAGTACTCCAGTGGCTTGATGGTCTTCCAGCTAGCTAGCCTTGTGATCAGAAGTCCCTGAGTTCGAACCCCGTTGATGGGTACGTACTACTGAAGAGTCTCAGACTGGGACGGAACAGCTGACTGTCCAGCACTCCCAGCTGGTTTTCCAATGGTTCTCCAACCAATGTCAGTTGATGATGAAATTTACTTTTCAATTAGATCCTCGTCAAAGTCTCTCCTCTAATATACATGTACATATTTATAGCAATTTTGATTTACCAATTTAAAAATTCGTCAACATAATCTGCTGGTGATTCATTTTGTTTCAACAATAATTAGTCAAGATCAGCGTGTCAAGAGTGCATCAATAGTTCAGTGGTGGTAGAACGTTCACCAATCACTTATGTGGTCCATAGTTTGATTCCCGTCCTCATCTAACCGATAGTAAGCGGGGGAAAAAAAGAAGGTTGAGCATCAGGTTAGCAACCTTACCGCGTAAAACACAATACCGCTAACGCTACTGAATCTTCAAATCCCAGTCTTATAGTCCAGTGCCCCAGTCGAGAAACACAAAGGAAATGCCAAGCGGGCTGAAGGGGTGTGTGATAAATAATCAATAAAATTAGTACAAAAATTAAAAGGTTGGTTTTGTGAGGTAGAGTAGCTAGCTCGACGCCCACCCACCCCCATCTTTAGCCGGCTAGAAAACTAGTGAGCTAGTAAACTAGGAGAAAATGGAGATGTATCGGGTGTACGTTGAGGAGGCTGTCGAATGACATAGCGAGTCAGCTTGACCATCGCTCCAGTGGAATATCAACAGGAAATGACGAGTGGGTCATCGGTGCGAGGATAACATGGAGGATATCGTATGTTGGAGAAGGTGAGATGAGAAATTATGGGCAATCGTAGAGCTAGCCATCTGAAGAGGATAGTAGAAAACAGAACAAAGTGGAGATGTGTTGCTGAAGCCGTATGTTCCACTCGGAATCCAAGGGGATAATAATAATAATTTTGTCACTGTGTTAATATATATATATATAACAACAGAAGATAAGGGCCAAGCAACAGATCGTTTATCAAGGAAAATCAACACATATTTATAGATTTTAATGTACATTATTGTAGATTATTGTTAGTAGAAAATACAGTCTTTCGACTGGTTGTTTCTCACAGAAAGTTAACCTTGCATCCATATGCTAACTTTATCCGCCTACTCAAAGTCTTTGTTCCCATTTTCTCACCACCAATATTGGGGACATAAACATTGACGTCAATTACTGTCTGCCAACTTTGGCTAACAGCTAGCTCTCACCACATATATATATATATATATATGTATATATATATATATATATATATATATATAAGAGTAGTGCCATTCATGAGAATCTAATTGAAAGCTAAATAGTTCTTCTCAAGTGTTGATTTCCAAGGATTCGATGGATCTCAAGTTTGACCACAAATTCACTGCCATCAGTTAAAGAACCACTGAAAGCCACAAGGCAGTAATGGATAGCTGTTTCATCCCTCTTTGAGACTCCTTATCAGTACTCATCCATCACCTCACCAGAACCGTTCAGATTACAAGAAAGCCTCATCGACCATTCAGCCATTGGAATGGAATTCAAAAGCCCATCAGTTCTGACTTCGACTAATTCAAGATATGTATATAACGCAATCGCTTGATGAGTATATGTCCTCTAACTCGACCTTGTGCATGACTTCCCACTAGAAGAACTTAAGGCAACTTCAACCCGTCACCAAGTCACTAGTGAGTACTATTTTAATTCTGTTAAAGCGTTAGCCGGATAGTAACCGGATAGTCTCAGACTCAGATCCTAGTAGAGTCTCAAGCAAGAACGTAACAGATGTCTGTTTCATCATCCCCTGCTTGTTTTCAACAATTCATGACCTAATTTGAAACATTTTTCTTCTTTCAATTCTTTTCCTTCCTCTAAATTTTTGTTTTGTCATTGTTGTTGCTGTTGTTGTTGTTGTTGTCAGACAGATAAATGGTGCTGGTCATTTTGTTACGGTGCGCTTATTACACCCCATCCTTAGAATTACTGTGATGAACAAGTTTCATTTTTGGTGATGTTAAAAGTGGTCAAAGTAGTAGTAATATTAGTATCAGTAAATACTTCTCACCTTTTCGACAGGTGTCTATACCGATAATGATTGCTATAAGTGTGTGTTTGTGCGTGGGTGGGTGGGTGGTGAATGTGTTTCTATGCGAACAGAGACAATATCTATTTATACTTACTTATTTGAGTATGCTCACGCTATTATGTCACACACAAACACACACAGTCATACACACAGCCCAATTAACTTGCACAACTCATACATATTTCAATGCTATCTCTTATTTTTCTTCTTGTGTGTCTGCGTGGGCGTGCGTTGATGAATGAATTTCTCTTAGGTGGAATTTTTCAAACCTGTTCAAGTGTCAGTTATGCTTGAAGAAGAAGGCGTCTATTTGGTTGCCTATCCTGATCGACGTCCAACTGGTGATGCATTTGTATTATTCAGCGATGATTATACAGCTACTAAAGCATTGGGACGTCATAAAGACTACTTGGGTGATAGATATGTGGAGCTGTTTAAAGCATCACCGTCTGAAATGGTCCAGGTAATATTTGTATTCCTTTTTTACTCTTCGTTTTTTTCGACATTTTTATTTAATCATCTTTGTCGAACTATCAATTATCGACTTTAAATTTGTTCAGGAACTCAGCAGTATCAGTTAGAAAACCATTTAAAACCAGGGGCTAGTATTGGAACACTCTTGTTTCGTCCCCGTTCAGGACTCTTCACTGTACTCACGCGTGACATCCTCCCTGCCAAGGACTGAATTCAATGGCCCGTGAATTGTAACTTCTGTCAACTCACGATATATAGCACAACTGCAAGACTATGCTATATTTCACTTTTTTTTTTAATTTTGACTATAGCTTGATCCCACACTGTATTTTTGGTACAAGTATGGAATTTTCAGAAGTGTGATATCGGTAGGCCAAATTTTGTAGGCCGACCATTGATATCAGGTATGCTTCGGCAGGGGATCGAACCCCGGACCATGTTCATGGTCGACGAGAGTCATAACCGCTGTGCCACCGACGCACAGATGAGTATTTGCCCTCAAACCAAATATGGCGGACCCTGCTATCTAAAATTCACAGCCTACAATATTCCATCCTAATGGCTGAATGTTCAGCGAGCTGACCTCATAATCTGAAGGTCCTGGGTGGGTTTGACTTCTAGTAGATGCTGTTGAGGAGTCTCAAACTGGGACGAAGTAGCTTTCCAGTACTCGCCGCTTTTAAATGGTTCTCCAACTGATATCATTCAGTTCTTGATGAAACTTGAAATCCAGTTGACACTTATCGCCTAAGTATTAATGACATGAACAGCTATGCAACTATGTTCATCTCATACTATTTTTCATAAATCCGCAGATTTGACGTACATCTTAGTGTAAGTTTTGATGTTCCCCAGTGGAACTCCAGATCATTATTTTAAATGTCGCAGTCACACGGTTATCTGTTAGGCTGTTGAACTATGAAAGATAATTTATATATCAAGTAACAGAATTCGTTTACATAATACTATTGGCTTATATACTATTCCAGAAATCATGTAACACTTATAGGGAACCGTGAGGTGCCACAAATGATCTGATACAGCTGAGGTAGGGGGGATAGACTTCCTCTTGATTGCTGTCATTTGGCCACGCGTTCATTTCCCGCTCCAGGTAATTCTTATTCACTTCCCTCACACGCTGTGGGCGAACGCAAGTAACTGGCGCCAACAGCCGAACAGACCGATATGCCGGTCTACCTATAGGAGCCTCAAACCTCTGATTCCAAGCCTACAGTGCTTAATAACCTGATTTGGTCACTGGAAAACACTGGAACATAGCTACTGACGTCGCCTACTGTCTTGTAGATAAAACTTCAAGTCAAAAGCATAGATGAGAGGGTTGTCCCTTAAAACAGTCGCCTACTTTGGCCTGAACTTCAGGGCAGTATACTAGCTGTGTCACAAACTATGAGACTAAAATCTGTGTGGTGTGTCTCTTGGTGCCTGTAGTATACCAAGTTTGCGTTTTAATGGATAACAAATAAAAGGTTGCGGTATGTTCTACCTGTTTGTTCAAGACGAAGTGGCTGGTGTGGTCTTTGAACTTCAAACCCATTAGCTGAGAACAGAGTGCTGCAGGAAATCAGAGGAATACGCTTTTAGCTATCCTTGACTACATCATACACATACGCATACTACACTGAACCATACATTTAATGAGATATGATGACTGGTGCAGTCCGCGCCAAGTTGTGGACTGTGTGGGTACCTACTCACCAATAATATTGGCTTGGGGATATCGCTATGTAAACATATTGCCTGGACTAACATCGGGATCTTGTTCCTTGTGTTGTGTACTTGGTTGATCCTTACAATTATTTCAGGGTCTGTCTTGCTTCACTAAAAGATACCGTATTTTCAGTGTACTTAATCTTCCCACCCGCCCCCAACTGACAACACTCAGAGAACCAACCATTGAAGACAATGGAGCACTGAAAACCTGTATTTTCCTAGTCTGGGACTCTTCGGAACCAAAGTGATATCAGCCCTCAACTATAAGGTCATCAGGTTGGAATCCAATACTCTGTGAACAGGTGGGGGGGGAGATATGGCCCTACTGTCATTTCATGCCACTGGTAAACAGCATGCAGTTCAAGTCGGATGCATGTTAGACTCCAACTGCCACAACTTCTCATGAAAGCTTCTGGACATTCATCTTGTAACTGATACTGAGTTGTACGGATTTGCATTAATTTCAATGGAGATATTGTCACAGACCAGTATCAGTTAAAGAACATTTGAAAACCAGGCTACACTCATTGTACAAAACCGTCTAAGCCAAGTTCAGTAGTATAAATCGTTCATATAATATCATAGAATTCTTTTCGAAATTAGCATTAGTATAACGTGCTTATATATTATCGAAATATAGAAGTTTTAAGGACAGCAATAGCGAATATCTGAAGAAGCCACTCGCTGAACTTTTCCTTCTCAAGTCTGTCAGCTGATGAGAAGTATATCGATGCTTAAACCACATCTATACTGAAATCGAACTTGAATGTTACGGAGTTAGAGGACAGTGAAAGTAAAACATCTTAATAAAGGCCAATATAATAGCTAGATATGGCATAGGATTCTTTGCGTTAATACCCAAGTTAGAAGGAGGGGATGAAGAAGGTTTTTGCTGTAGGTGCATATAAATTAGGGTCTTCCATCTGAATCTCCAAAGCCCCAGCAGTGCAAAGTATACCGAAGCTTACCGTCTTCAAAAAGCCTCTTCTGATCCCTTAGATAACTTTGAATGAATTTTCCCAACATATTAAGTGATCACTGTTGAATATGTATTGAATTGTACCACACCTTATTGATCTGTTGTTACTTTTCTCCAGGAGAGAGAGAGATAATGTTCCCTGACTGATTTAGGTAAAACACACATCGAGAGGCATTTACATCTCGCTCCGTAGGAGCAAGTGAATTGCTAGATACACATGGAAGTGGTTAAATGGGATAGTTCATCTTCAGGGTTATTGGAGAACATTAGGTGACAAGAGAATACTAATCTCAATATAGGAGCAAAGAATGTTCTTTTCTCTGTGTTGAGTCATTCCAGGTCTACCGCTAATGACCTAGGGGTAATTTAAGCCTGGTTGACAAGCACTGCTGGATGAGATATATGGCTACTAACTTCTAACTATTAGTAGTATACACTAGGCTATAGTCTGTCTATCTTGAAATATTACAATGAAGTCATAAAAAACATTGAGCAAAGAATATTCTTTTCGATAACTTCATCATCAGGCTCTACAGTTATATATACATTATAGTGAATGAATAAATTAGTGTTATGAACAACATTAATTTTGTTTAAATAACATCAAATCAATAATACCGATAGATTACAGTTCAATAGCATCAACATAAAATAAGCTGAATGCCAGAAAAATTAGGAAAGGTAATAACACAAACTCATGAAATTATAGTCTCTAGTGAAGGCCAGGGCAGTAGTAGTGGCTGGCTGGACTTGCTTCTTTTGCACACAAAGCACTAGTTGTTTCACGCGAATTGCAATAACCTCTGCTGTTTGGAGCATGCAGTACTTCGATGTTTTTAGCAATGTATTAGGCACCCGGTAGATGATGGAGAGGGATTTTCTTCAACGCTGGCTTTGTGGCCGGTTTTCACTACACCTTTACTTAGCCATGATGGGAGATGTTCTCAAGCACGGAAAATCAATTTCCTAGAGCAACGGCTTATATAAGTCACCCCACCTCAGGCAGCGCAGTTGAATTGGTAGATACAATTGGAAGTGGCTAGCTAGTCTAGGTAGAGAGTAAGACGTGTAGTTCGCCAGTATTAAAAGCTCTTTGAACTGATTTTCTTAGTTTCTTCGTAATTATTTCACTTGGTATATCGCCCTTGAATTGCAGTCGTATGTATAATGGCTTCTTGTTTACGGATAGTGAGTAGTCCTTTTCCGCTTTCTTTGTCGAGTGTTTCTTGATAAATTTTTCGGGATAGCTATTTTCGATCACAGTATCATATACAATGCTTAATTCATCTTCAATTACTTCTTTTAAGCTCTAACTCTGTGGCTAAGGGTCTTTACTAAACTTCTTTTGTACTTGAGAGGAACGAAGCTGTGACAATGTGTATATTGTCCTGTCCAAGTACTTTTTCTAAGTGAATTTCTTTTTATGCTTTCATTCATTTACTATAATGTATATATAACTGTAGAGCCCAATCATGAAGTTATCAAAAAGAGTATTCTTTGTTCAGTAACCATTCTTTTTAATGAATTATATATATATGTTTATATACGTAGAATATTCTAGATTAGTAGTCAATAACAATATTAGTGTTTTTTAAATACTATCGATTTGTAAAGTAAGATCATTGGAGTTACAGTTTAAGAAAGACGCTTAACTAATAGTAAACTTGAAAATGTGATAGCAGATAGAATATCAACTAAAATTAAGGAAATTTCCACAATAAGAAATTAAGGTAAGGACAGTGTCTGAACCAAAACCTTCTTTTGGATACATAAGTTAGGTTTCTTAATGTAGATCCTAACAGCCAGCCTCATCAATATGTGGTAAACGAACTTTCAAGGTAGGGTTAAGATTAGTTGGTATGCGGTAGATGACTTTGAAAGCAGCCTCGTTAGCATCGATTTTGTGTTCTGTATCCACAAGATGAGATAGAATAGTGCTACGAATAGATTTTGTTTGTCCTTTACTTAACCAACCACGCAGGATGGTATTCGCAAATCCGATGATAAACACGCCTAATTGTACGGCCTATGCAACTAACTGGCTCCACAGGAGCAGTCAAATTGTTAGATACACATAGAAGAGGCGAAATTAGTCAGTTTATCTTTAACTCCCGAACGCAAAATAGGGGTACTTTTGAAGATACAGAATACTTCATCAGCACTGAATGCTCTATGTTATCCTCGAGGAACTGTTGTTGTAAGAACAAGACTTTCCTTCACGGGAACTGTTGGTACCTCGGCCTGCCTTGACTTTCGATTCATATTCTTATCAGTGAATTCCTCTGGGTAACCGGCTTTCTCACTCAGCAACTGTTTAATAATATTATTAAGCTCTTCATTAAGATATTCCTCTGAGCAGATTGCTCTTATTGTGTGAAACAAGCAGTTTATTAGATTGCGTTTGTATTTCAATGCCACGAAGCTGATAATATAACTTTTTGAATTTTCCGCATAATTTTGTTTAAATAAACCGCCAACCAGCTATCGATTTTTTCTATAACTAAGATGCTATTTTCATTTTTATAATTCCCTGCAGGTTTGTTATAATGTAACCCAAGTGCACAGTTCAAATGCATCGCATAAAAATCATTCAGCTATACTGGATTATCATCAAACAAATCCAAGAACAAGTATCATCACCTCGTTAACTTCGAATGGAGGAGGAACACTGACGCCTGCCAACTGTTCAAATTTGATGAACTTCATAAGTAACAATAATAGTAATAATAGCAATGGGAATTTAACTAATGGAAGTATTATCAATAGTAATATTAATAATAATATTACTAATAAAGAAGCCCATTTAAATCGAACTCTGAACCAGCTAAAATCTGTCATGAGCTCTGGTGCCTTATCCAATTTATCAAATCTATGGAATTCTAGTCTACTTCCCTTAGGTTTATCACACCATTTGTTGACACCACTTAGTGAAACAGGCTTAAATGGTGGTAATATAATCACAAATAATGGTACATCCAGCCTACCGTCAACACTTCCATTAGCCTCAACAACTGATCCTTCAACTCACTTGAATCATCTCCTATCAAGTATTTCTGTTGTAAATCCTGTTATTCGTGATCTAACCGACCCTACGGATCCGGAATGTCCATTTGCCAGACCTCTACCTATCGGTGGAGCATGTGCTATGGTCCAGTTGAATGAATTACCGCTAGAAACATCAAGACATGATATACGATTGTATTTGGGACCGGCAAATTTTGCAAAAGTTTATCGAATGAGAAGAATGGTAATTACTCATTTTATTTTGCTTGTTATCATTATTTTTTGTTGTTGCAAATTACGTACTAAACAGAGGTCAAATATTGTTAAGTGGTGTTAGAGAATGGTGATCACCATAGCGACAAACTAGACCAATCACTATGAAGGGGGTAAATCAGAATGAAATTGGCAAGAATATTATTTAGGGGACCGATTTAAACTTTGAACACTCAACAAGTGCGAATGCATCAGTGACCTAGAAAAGCCCACTGAGAACGAGCCAGTGAAACAAGGAGCAAAGTTAGACTCTAAGCACCAGTAACTACCAATCAGCGAATGACCTTGAACGCACCAATCACATGAAAGAGGCTATTTTGGGGGATAAAATAGGCATATTTATGAAAAGAATTGTATAAAAACTAAACAAAACTGTTACAGAAGATACCTTTCTCTCAAATGTGATAAAAACATCTCCCAGTTTAGCATAGGAGTATCAATTGTAAAGTTACATCACATGCGATCCATTAATGGCTCTAATATGGTTTTTCAACCTTCCTCAAAATCCTTCGACAGAATTAGTGTGCGTCCCTGTAATAGGATCCAAAAAATCACTGGTATGGTTTACTCTGTAATGAATATGTCCCACGGATGACAACGAGTTACATCCTTTCCACGCATATGTGTGTGTTGTAGATCCTCGTTTCACCAACTGAGTGGTAACAGAGTAGTTGACTTTCTATCTTTTATTCTCTCAACGAATCTTTCCCATAGAAAGGTGTCGTATAATCCAACCACTTAAACATTGTTTACTTGTTCATTACGACGGTTGTATTTCCTCTTTCACAAAACTGTTTCTTCCACATGTACAGTGATACCTTCTCCTCCCAATAAGGAAGTAAGTCTCTCCACTTTCCATAATGCCATATCTCTGCAGTACTGGGACTATTGAACTGTTGGAACGAGAATATTTTCTGTTTCAGCAACTGCAGCTGTCACAGCGTGTTTTAAAGTCCAGTAATTACAAATATACAAAGTCTGCTTTAAGGACAGATGGGATCCAGCAAAAATTATTCCTACGAAACAGTGTAATCATTAGCTTACCTTCCCCCATACTAACTCTCCTGAAACAAATTCCACAGCGATGCACATGTCTATCAACGGATCTACTGAAGCTTTTTATACTCAAGATACCTTCACCACATAAACAAATTCTTTCTTCTCTAACCAACCCCAAACATCTAAGCAATACTGGACAACTTGTTCTACGCGTTAAATTTCAAACGTAACTGTTTAGATCGGGCATTATTTCACTCGAATCAAGCGGAATAAATGCTTCAACTCGCATGAAAAAAACTCACTGGTCCATTCTGGGCCACTGGTGCGGTGCACTCCGTTGATAGTTACTGGTGTTTAACGCCCGTATTAGTTACACTTCAAGTTGGGTTTAGGCTAGAGACTTTTAGGGTAAGGATAATCCAGTCTGGAAGATAGAAGGCTTAGGGTTAGGGATAGATTAGCATCAGGTTAGGTTAGAGAAAGATTAGGTTTTTGGTGACTCTAAACATTAGTATCCTACATAAAGGACCTAAGTAAACGGATGTAATTACCTTGACTGACCAATCATAGACTCTTAGAGACATAGTAACCGAATAAGCAGGCAGGCAGCGAAGACAGGACTCCAGGTGAACATAGAGAAGACGGAGGTGATGAATACGCCTGACCAACCCATAGCAACAACAACAACCAGCACCGATCACCGTCAATGGGAAAGATCTGACAGAGGTTACTTCCTTCAATTATCTAGGAAGCATAGTTTCAACTACAGGTGGAACGGATGAAGATTTCAAAGCCAGCCAGACATAATCGGAAAGGAAAGATACGCCTTCATCAATCTGAAACCAGTTTGCAAATCTTCTGCACTCAACATGAAGAACAAGATTCGGATTTTCAACACCAATATGAAGTCAGTCAGTTCTTCAATACGGATCAGAAACTTGCACTGCGTGTCGCGAAAAGGATTTACAACAAGCTACTGCAGACTTTTATCAACAGCTGCCAACTTCGCTGGTTCCTTACTGAAGTTCAAATAGCCAGAAAGAATAAGTGACAAGAAACTGAGGGAACAAACCAAAAGACAAGAACCGATTGCTCAACAAATATGTAGGAGAAAATGAAGATGGATTGGGCGCACATTGGGGAAACCGTTGAATGACATCGCACGCCAGGCCATTGCTCGAGTGGAATCCGAATGGGAAGAGATGAGTGTGTCGTCGGTGCGAGTGTAACATGGAGGAGATCGTGTGAGTTGGAGGAATAGATCAGAGATTATGGGCAATCGTGGAGCTAACCATGTGAAGAGGATTGTGGAAAATAGAAGAAAGTGGAAGTGTGTTGTTGAAGACCTATTTTTCACTCGGAACCCAAGGGAATAATAATAATCCACCTTCATCTCCTTCAGTATATTTATTCGACAGTTGGTGAGTTATTTACTAGATCTCCTAGTTGCTTTTCCTTTCCAACTGGACATCGCATCTTGAATATCAATATCGAAGTGGAAAGGCACTGATAAAAGTCCCCAACGGAAAAGCTTTTCGTGATGACGACGAAAATATAGAATCACTGATTGAAATGACATTAGCATTAAGGATCTGATTCTTGTTCCCTACGTCGACTGTAGCAGACTTACACACTTATTTCAGGTTAATGCAGACCGGCCTTGCGTTTTCGATCCCGACTAGCTTTGATATTCTCATCCATGCTGCTCACATCTGATAAGCGAAAGAGGCGTCTTCAATTTTTTTCTACTGATGCATTGTTTACTTACTGGGGATGGAGTCAGCCATCCTCACCAGTAGACTTGTAACGACAGAAGGCAGGAGTCAGGTAACAGATGATTTATTAAGGAAATCAACGCATATTTATATATTTTCATGTACATTACTATGGATATTTAAGTAAACAAACACAGTCTTCCGATTGGTTGTTTCTCACTTAAAGTTAATCTTTCATCTATTTGTGACTGTTTCTTGAATGTCAAATCATCTACATATTAACTGCATCCGCTTACGCAAAGTCTGCTGTGGTCAGTTTTGAATCAATCTTTGTTCACATTTTCTCACGACAAATCTTGGGAACGTAAATATTGACGTAAATTACTGTCTACCAATTTGGCTAGTAGACAGCTCTCACCACAGACTGTTTTAATTACTTTCCTCTTCCCCTTGTTTCTTTTCTCCCTCTAGGAAAATTTGCCCAACAGTCATACGTCCACATGGTTGCTATCCTTGATCAATACAAATGAAGCTATCCAATTCATTCGAGATTTAGTCAATAGAACATTCACAATAACTACTGTAGGTGGTGTTTGTAATCGTGGACATACTTCAAATACTACTACTACTAACAATAATAATAGTAATAGTAATAATGGAAATAAGCAAATGAAAATTCTGTCAAATATTCCCACGTTTGCACTTTATAGCGTTAATCAAGAGGGTAAGCTATCAGTGATTATCTTGTCAGATATTGGTCTTGGCATTCCACTGCATAGGATACATCCAACATCTTGCGGAAGATTACCACAACCAGCAGTTGTAACAGTGGCGGGAGCACCGACGGCGGCATCATCGAATAATGAGACTGTCAGTATTAGTAATAACAATAATAATAACAGTAATAATAATTTGAATTGGTCACAACATCAGCAACAACAATCAATAAAGTTTCCAATAACAACAAAATATGATGATCAAAATATACTGAATAGTAAGTTATTCACTGTGAAGTATAGTTTCAATTTAAGCCAAAGGTCGATGTCAGTTAGAGAAGCATTGAAAGCTAGGGAGTACTGTCAGGGGAGGTGTGACTTTTCAGGTACTCTGTAGTTTTCAATGATTCTTTTTGACTGATTGATATTGCTCCGTGGTTCAACCTGAAGCAACATATGAAAATTAACATTACAAAGTACACAGTTCAAGAACCGTATACTAGTGATAGATTGATATGACACAAAATGATTGAGCAAAGAAGAACATTCTCTTCGATAATTTCCTCTTCTGGCTCTACAATTATATATCTGTATGTTTATATACATAGAATATTCTAGAACAGTAGTCAATAACAATATTAGTGTTTTTTAAATAATATCGATTTGTAAAGTATGATCACAATGGAATCACAGTTCATTAAAGATGCCTAAATTATGGCAATAATAATAAAGATATAGTAGCAAATAGAATATCAAATAAAATTAAGGAAACTTCCACAAAAATTCAGGATCATTCAAACTTAGATGACCAGTGGGGTAAGGATAATGTCTGAACTAACTTCTTTTGGATGCACAAATTAGGCTTGTTAATATGGATCCCAACGGCCAGCCAGCCTCAGCAATATCTGGTAGTCAAACTCTTAAGGCAAAACTGAGATTTGTAGGTATGCGGTAAATGACCCTGAAAGCATGGTTAACATCAATCTTGTGTTCTGTATCCACAAGATGAGTGAGATAGAATAGCGGTATGCGAATAGATTTTGTTTTTCCCTTGCTTAAGAGTTCGGCTAGTAAATATTGCTGAGGCTGGCTGGCTGTTGGGATCCATATTAACAAGCCTAATTTGTGCATCCAAAAGAAGTTAGTTCAGACATTATCCTTATCCCATTGGCCATCTAGGTTCCAATGGTCCTCAATTTTTTGTAGAAATTTCCTTAATCTTAGTTGATATTCTATTTGCTACTATATCTTTATTATTGTTATTATAATTTAAACATCTTTAATGAACTATAATTCCATTGATCATACTTTACAAATCGATATTATTTAAAAAACACTAATATTGCTATTGACTACTATTCTAGAATATTCTATGTGTATAAACATACAGATATATGTAATTATAGAGCCAGAAGAGGAATTTATCGAAAGCGGGATACTCTTCTTTGCTCAATTATTTTGTGTTTTATAGAAATATCTGAATGAATATTTTCGCTAGATTGATATGAGATGGATATCATTCATATCAACCAGTATTGTCTTCTAGTCAGATTGAAGTGGTCTGAACACCAGATGACCATTTCGCCAGTTTAGGGCTGCGCTCACCAGAGGTGCACTCACTTTGATGACTCAGGTGAATCAGTTCATATCAACCGAATAACTTCAATTTCCTTTGGAAATTGTAGCGAAGTTTCACCTCAAAGTATATAATTTGCAAGTTTTGAGTTCTATTTACTGTAATGCCAATTTCACCCTAAGAGCTGGCTATAATTTGGGCGTTTTCTGAAGTGACTTTGGTCCTCTGAAGTGAGTCAATCTCGGTACATTGCCAATTTTTGTCAGCCTTCGAACGATCGATTCATCAGTTCAGTGTTTGTAGATCGCTTCGATTTGCCTCAGGAGCAATACTGTTTCATATATGAGTGACTTCCAACTACTCACATAAGTCAATAGTAGTATTCAGAATGGAACATAGGGCGTCAAGCTTCAAAATTGGGCCATGCGCACGTTTAAAGAGTACTCTACTACTAGACTACTGACTACTTGATGTACAAAATTACAAAATGGCAACAAATTGAACCAGTATGCAGTGAGGCCAGTATATATAATACTTTTTGATGTGATTGTGTTCTCTGAGCTGGATAGTTAATTTGCAAAGCTTTCATCACCCTACTAGGTGACATCTTCAGCGCATACTTCAATTTGAAGTGAGTTCACTATTAGTCATCTTTCCTGGTGACCTTGGAAGTGAATGGTTGTTTTTGTGTGTTTTCACACCTTCTAGGTTACTTGTATTGTCACTCATTGTTTCTTTGACTTGAACTTTGACCCTTTGTGTGTGAGGTTTCTTTCTTATCGGTTGATAAATTTTGTCTATCTCGATGTGTCTATTGATTGATGATTCACTGGAATGCCAAGTTTCTAAAAGTTCGCTAGCATTCTTCGTGTTTCCTCTGTCTAATATTTGAACGTTGTCCCAGTCGAATTGATGTCCGTGGTTGTCTGTATGTAGTGATATGAGTGAGGGAGTGGATGTCATGTCTTTTGACGGCTAACTTATGTTCGTGGATACGAAGACGAAGGGGACGTCCACTTTGGCCAATGAAGTATTTTCAAAAAGAATGGATATCCACCGAATTTCATCAAAAGACATATACCGGTAAGCCAGCCTATCAAACCAAAAGCCCCCAAGGAAAGCACAAAGAAATTCGTCCTGCCATATATAAAGGATATATCAGAAATCACTACAAGACTCTTCAAACCTTTAGGAATTGACGTCGCACGCAAACCAACAAAATCACTTCAGTCAGTTCTATGTCAACCAAAAGACTCAACAGCGAAAGAATATAAAACCAACATTATCTACAAAATAAATTGTATCAACTGCGAAAAACGCTACATTGGCCAAAGTTGACGTCCCCTTCGTCTTCGTATCCACGAACATAAGTTAGCCGTCAAAAGACATGACATCCACTCCCTCACTCATATCACTACATACAGACAACCACGGACATCAATTCGACTGGGACAACGTTCAAATATTAGACAGAGGAAACACGAAGAATGCTAGCGAACTTTTAGAAACTTGGCATTCCAGTGAATCATCAATCAATAGACACATCGAGATAGACAAAATTTACCAACCGATAAGAAAGAAACCTCACACACAAAGGGTCAAAGTTCAAGTCAAAGAAACAATGAGTGACAATACAAGTAACCTAGAAGGTGTGAAAACACACAAAAACAACCAGTCACGTCCAAGGTCATCAGGAGAGATGATTAATAAACTCGTGGAGAAATCTGAAAGCTCACTTCAAATTGAAGTATGCGCTGAAGATGTCGCCTAGTAGGGTGATGAAAGCTTCGCAAATAAACCAACCATCCAGCTCAGAGAACACAATTACATCAAAACCATCCACCTTAGCTACAAATCTTCTCCATCATATATATACGACTTATTGATTGAGGTGAGCATTTGTATACCACTCACATCAACTAGTAGTACTTGTTGGTTAGCCAGATGGAAGTGATCCCAACACTGGACGTCTGTTTCGCTCATTTGACGCAGAGCTCATCAGCCATGTGGGTTATGGTGCCATGCATTCACGCTTGTTTTCTTGATTGCTATTTATGGTATCAAGCGGGCCACATGTACTATAATTTGAATAATTTCAGTTTCCGAAAGAAAATATTTTGAAATTCCACTTTGAACTGTGTAAATTACGAATTCAATCTAAGAATAGTTAATCAAGTAATCAAGTGGATTTATTATAAACAGTATAACTTGCATACAGTTCATGTACGCGAGTATTAGTCAATAATTTGACTGTTGAAAAAAGGTTAAATGTGTGTGGAACTAAGGGTGCTGACGGTTTCTTAAATTGTGAATAGATGGCTAAATCATTGACGGTGAAAAACTGATAAGAGTTGAATCTATTTTCAGATGATTTTTTTTCCTTCACGTTTTCCAGTGGAACATAGGGCTTCAAGCTAGTGGCTTGAAGTTTCTGTAGCAGTGTTTATTTTACAGGATGCGGTTGCTAGCCTCATGCTCAACCTTTCCTCTTCACCAACTTTAGTTCTGGCTTAGCGAGGTAAAGGAGTGCATCGGTGTCCGGGTATTGAACCCCGGACCATGTGCATGGTCGGCAAGCGTCCTAACCGCTATGCCACCATCATTTTCAGATGATGGTTTACTTCAAACTAGATAACAGATTCCAGTCAAGTATTGGTTTGTAGAGATTTTGTTCGATTGGTTACAGGATTTCATCATGAGCTGACATTGGTTAGAGAACCATTGGAAAACCAGCCGGGAGCGCTAGACAGCTGTTTCGTCCTAGTTTGGGACTCTTCATGAGTACGCACGCACACCTCAGGGTCCTAAACCAGGACCTTCTGGTTACAAGACTAGCTAGATTGTAGACCATTAAGCCACTGGGACCCGATCTAATGGCCAGTCCATGAATTCTAACTTCTGCCAATTCACGATATAGTGCCACCGCTAGCCAATATCATCTGCGGCGAGTATTTGTCCTCACACCTGACCTGCTGCACCCTACTGGTCACGAATTCCCACTAGAACCCCAGGTAACTACCTACCCACCTGAATAGGGTCAGTCGCCAGTGAGCATCTCATTGATATTCAAGTATTGGTTTGTAGGGATTTGGTTGATTGGTTACAGGATTTCATCATGAGCTGACATTGGTCAATTGTCAAATTATAACAATTAAAAAAGATTAGATTATATAATATAAATAGGGATTAAAAACGCGTAGTGTTAATCAAAATAAACAAGAATTTCAGATCAAAAACATGATCGAATAATAACTTTATTGAGAAAATTGACTATGTCTTCCGACCATGATAAAGACGAGTAGCTTGACTGCAACCAATGTCAGTTCATGATGAAATCCTGTAACCAACCAACCAAATCCCTACAAACCAATACTTGAATATCAATGAGATGCTCACTGGCGACTGGCCCTATTCAGGTAGGTAGGTAGTTACCTGGGGTTGTAGTGGGAAGTCGAGACCAGTAGGGTGCAGCAGGTCAGGTGTGAGGACAAATACTCGCCGAAGACATTGGCTGGCGGTTGCGCTATATCGTGAATTGGCAGAAGTTAGAATTCATGGGCTGGCCATTGGATCGGGTCCCAGATTCCAATCAGTTGGAAAACCATGGAATGCTACACAGCTATTTTATCCTAGTTAAGAGCTTCTCATTAGCACTCATTGATCACCTGAACCCTTATGAATAGAACCCTAGGACTTTACGTTTTCTAGGCGAGTCTGTTAACCACTCAGCCACTGGCACGGAATCAGACAGACCATGAATTCTTGCTGACGACAATTCGCGATAAATAGCGCCATTGCTACCCAATGTTATCAGCGAGTATTCGTCCTTATACCCAACATAGTAGACCCTATTGGTCACGACTTCTCATTAGACCTAACTTGAAATCCATAGTATTGTGGGGTGTACTACTTACAAGGAGATACAAGTGGTATATTGTTTGACTTCTTTGGAAAAGTCGTGACAATTTGTATCAGTGGAAAATCTAGTAGAGAAAAAACACCAACAGGAGGCAACAACACTGAGAAGAATTGCATTAGTAGTATTATTTCCAACTTGGGACATCTGTTTCAGACTTATGACCTGTCTGTCTATCTATTTTCGACATAGAACTTTGCAAATATGTGCGGCAGTTCAAGTCGCCACACTCCCTTCATGTAGCACACAAAGCAAGAGAAGAAAATAGGAGAAATGCATAGTATAGACAGTAAGTTGAGGTGTGAGACAAAGGTATAGTAATAACGAAGAACGATATAGTTCCATTTGAAATCATAAGTCACAAGCAGTGGATGCATCTGAGCCACTGAGAACGATTTTGAGCCATGTCACCAATTGTTTCCAACCATTGGTTTTTACCGACAGGACGACCCCAACCAGCAAGTCTACACCTTCCTACGTGGCTTAGACTAACTGTTGTGGATTTCATTGACTGATAAAGCCATGTTTTGGTTTGACCGCCGCTAGCTTTTTTCCAGTCTGGCCCTATATCAGCTAACAAAGCCCGTCAGTCAAGGAAGGCGATGACTAGGCATACGTAACACATGCCCCAACCATCTCAGTCGATGTAATTTCACTGTTTCGTCGACTGATTTCCCCTTCCACCGACCTAGCACTCAGCCGATGCCTAACCTCAATATTGCTCACCTTATTATACCACTTCACACGGGAGATAGAACGCAGACACCTATGATCGAAGACAGCTAGTCTTTTCATGTCTTCCACTCTCAATGGCCAGGTCTCACAGCCAGCCATGAAAGAGGACAGAGCAGACTGATGAGCAGTACACACGCCCTTTGATCGATAGTTGGATATCACGTCTACGCCAGAGACGGCGAAAACTGGCATATGAGAACCTAGCCCTCTGTATTCGTGCTGAAATTTCGTCGATCAACCCGTTGGGGCCGATGGTACTTCCCAAGTAAGTGAAGCGGTCAACGTGCTCTACCACTTCACTTCCTATTTCTAATCTAGGGGTCGGTGAAGTCCAATCCTGCAGCATCATCTTACATTTTACAGGGGCGAATCGCATGCCAAACATACGAAGATTGCTGCTCAAGGTGTTCAGTAGACTCTGCTGGATTTTGTCAGCGTCCTCGCCTAGAAGGACTATATCATCTGCATATTCTAAGTCAACGAGATTATTCCCCGGTAGCAAGTCAATCCCTGAGTCGCTGAAGTGAGTTAGGGTTAAGTCCATTAGTACATCTATGATGAAGTTGAATAGAAATTGGCATCCATGACGGACGCCACTTATGACCTTCCAAACATCCAGCTGTATTTTGACCTACTGAGTACTTCTTCTCCGTCCACCATTCTTGTTCCTTTCAAATGGTGTCACTGCCTTTGTAGGAGATGAGGTTGCCATAGGCTTAGATCTTTTAAGGGTGAAACTTGACAATATTGCTGGAGGACCTTGTCACTATTCAGGAACTGAAGGAGACTCTGAGCCTTTATGACTAGCCTGCTGAGAAGCTAGCTGAAAGCTATCCACAACAGTTCGTCAGGAGTTGAAGGGGAAATATCGTGGATTTATTGTTACTCAGCTGTGAGAGCTCTGTTGTTTACAAGTTTGCTCAGTTTGTGTGTGTGTGAGTAACAGAGAGAAGTGTTTCCATAAGTGCTTAAACCATAATCACAGTATTATTATTATTATTAACCTTCCCCGTTTCGTTTTAGCTGTTACTTCACCCGTTCAACTGTCAGATCCACATTCAGTCTTAAAACGATTAACTCAACCAGTCAGAAATTTCGATATATCGCATTTTATCAATTCAATACCTGGTCTAAATCTTCAATCTCCAGTCAACACTCAAGATCAAGAAGGATTATTGCTACCAACCAGTCTTATACCTTCAACAAATCAAGGAAGTTCATGCATTCCATTGGATCCTAAACTTCCAACAATTGTAAATGATGCCTCAATAGCTCAAAATCGATTCAGTCAATCAGGTTTGACAGCATCTATGGTTATGCTAACCGGTGCTCCGGTTGATGCAACACAAGAAGAATTAGCATCATTATTCAATCCTGTTCGTCATCTACTGACGGTTAGTTCCTTAGTATTAATCCCAATAAATTTCAGTTCTGTTTTGTTTCGAATATTCTTTCAAGATGCCAAAAGACGTAAGAGTATACTTTTTCGATTTGATCACTGGTTACGTCTTTGACCTCAGTTCCCTCGGGGTTAAAGAAACGCCTTAATTGAAACGTGGCTAATTGACTTGAACATCCAACTTTTAGCCAGTGCATTCCTTGTTCGAATCCCGTTCCAAATACGTCAACACTCACAGCTAGTTAATACCATCAGCCTTCATACAATAAGCAAGCCTCCTAGCCAGTCACTGGGTAACCAGCTTCTGATTGACTAACTATGAGTTTCCTATACGGTGAGGAGAATCCCTAAGGTGTTGCACCTTTGGATGTCTAGAAGAATATTTGCTTGATGAAAATGGTGGGAAAAGCGATGACCACTAATCATACATCTGTAAGTATCCAAGCCGACCGCTAGATAGGCCTTAAACGTCCGCACTTAATAAACTCCCTGTCCTCGGTTAACTCTGATAAATACACTACCAACCCTGCGTGCACTGATGAGTGAAGTTCATATAAAAAGCTTATGCACTGTTGTGTGCACTGATATGAATTATATTTATATAACAAGTGAAAGACTAAAATTAATATGTAGTAATATCGTACAAAAATTGGGACAGCTGTTTTGTCGTAGTTCAGGACTCTTCATCAGTACGCACCCACATCTCAGGGTCCAAACCCAGGACCTTCTGATTACAAGGCTAGCTAGCTCGTAGACCATTAAGCCACTCACTGGGACCCGATTCAATGGCCAGCCCATGAATCCCAACTTCTGCCAATTCATGACATAGAGCAACCACTTCTCAATGTCTTGTTCGATGAGTTACTGCTCTCACATTTAACCTGCTGCACCCTGCCGGTCACGGCTCCCCGCTAGAACCCCAGGTAACTGCCTAAATTGGGCTAGTCGCTAGTGATCATCAGATCAACTTTCAGGTATTGGTTTTGTAGGGGTTTTGTTTGATTGTTTGGAGGATTTCATCATGAGCTGACGTCAGTTAGAGAACCACCGGAAAACCTACAGGGAGTACTGGACAGCTGTTTCGTCCTAGTTTGGGGCTCTTTAGCAGTACGCACCCACAGCCATGGTTCGATCCCAGGACTTTGTGGTTCTAAGAATAGTTTTACACAGCTGGAGTATTCGTTGTATCGTCCGCTTATATTATGCGCGAAAACACCGTAAGATAGCTTTTATCCTCAACCCAATCTATCTCGTGTCTTCTCTTTTTGTTTTAGGCTCAGCCATACTTTATACCATTTCAATATCAACCAAATGGTACAGCTAATTTTCTAGCCTGTTTTAACAATCCACTCGATGCACAAACAGCAGTACATTACTGTCCAAATGGTAGTCTGCGATCAAGTCAATATATAATAGGAGCAGCATGTTTAATACCGCCAACAAATATGATAACGTTGACAGCGAATAAAAATTATCCTATAACACCAGTAAATATACTTCCTGTTAATACAACAAATATGTTATTGCCTAATAGCCTGATGAACTCTTCAAATCTTCCACAAAGGAATGATCTATTCAATTCAGGAATTCTTTTCATACCTCCAAATTTATCTTCACAAACATCAGCATCATCATCGCCATCATTACCATCAACGACAACAACAACAACAACAACAATAACACCACCAATATCTGTACTTCATCCAAATCAACTGCATTTTCAATGATTTATTCAGCATGCCATTGAGATGAGTCTCTGCTTTTCTCATCTTTCAAATTAGTCACTTTATTTTTTCACTGAATTTGTATTAGTGATTTTGTTTTTGGGGTTTTTTTATAGTGTGTTGAGATACCTCGCCTTGTTTTTTTCTCTCTCAATGTTTCATCTTTTCTCCTTTCTTCATTTTTTTCTTTGTACATGATGAAAACGCATAAAAACACGAACAAAAACAACAGAACAGCAGCAACAACAATAATCACAGTGTAACACAGGTTCCTTTATTCAACTTTGAAAGTGTGTGTGTATTATTTTTTCTTTTCGAATATCAAATATTAATTGTGTACAATGTGAAAAGTGAAATTACAGTCATCGAGTTTATGATAACTAGACAGTAAATATAGGTTATATATGGGCAGGAGGAAACAATAGACACCAAACGTCAAGCATGACCTTGAATCGACCAATTAGATAGCTCAGTATTACAAATGGATGCTGTTCACATAATCTTCGATGCGAGTTTCACCTAGATTTGGTTTTTGACTTGTGTGTGTGGAAAATGGGTTGTGATAGGGAGGACTAAAACATGCATATGTGGTGGAGGGATAATGACTCTGTAAAAGTATTTCCAGGCTACTGATGGTTATGCGTTCAGATCCAATATCGTTTTAACGAGCTAGTATAAACCAATTTGATTTCTTTGTGCTCACCTCTTGATTTTGAAGTATAGGTTCCTGATCTTCGGTAAACTTCTGCGTCGCTCGTCCCACCACTCGACTATCGTAACTTTGGTTGACTTCAGAAGGAGTAGTGCTGGGATTTATTATATGTTGTTTGTAGTATGCCTTCTGGGATTTCCACGAGGGAGCCTATACCCACTCAGTGGCAGGGAGATTCTGATCATTCGTTATTTTGTAGGCAGTAATCAAATCCCCCTAAGCCGACGATAGCTAAGTGTGAGTAGGCCTAATTTCTTCAGCCTTTAATCTGGACTCTTTTCAAAAGGTTGGTGTCTCTCCTAAGCGGTGGGGGGTACAATAATATTATGCACTTCAAGGTGTGGTCTGACGTATGTTTTGTACAACCTTAGAAAGAGCTCAGGAGTGAGTGCACTTGACTGTCTATGTGTAAAGTGTATGACAGCATATGCCCTCTCTACGTCTCCCGTGTAATTTACGCTTATGTCCATGCAACCACTGTTATATGAGGAAGTCTGTAAGAGTTGGTGAGCCGTACATTATAGTGATTTTTCAGACACTTCCTTCTCGAAATCGAAACTCTCCCTTAGTAACATATTGTGTGTGTGCTACAACTGGTTACTGAAGCGCCCAGTGTCTGCTACGGCTGCAGAAACAGAGAGGACATTGGTTTGATAAGTCGATAGCCACTCCTATGCAAAACTGGGACCAGTTTTTGCAGAATATTAGAGATATATACCCTGTATGATTCATTTTAATTACAAATATATAATGAATGCACTTTTTTGTAAATTAAGTAACGCTTTTCACCTAGAAGAATCTGATTGGTTGTTTCAGGGTCATTCAAAGTTGGTGTCTATTATTTGCTGTTGCTGGGTTATATTCCCTTTACGCATCCCCTCTTTTTCGGAGTTACGCTTTGGATGACTCTAAACTGCAACAGCTCAAAACGGAACTACCTTGAACAACCTGCCAGATGAGCTCGTTGTGTATAGGCAGAATTATGGGTGCTGCACACGAATTATGTAGCAAATCCAGTATCTAGGTAATGCTTAGACAACAGGCTGGCTCACTAGAGGGTAGAAAACTTGTTACTGACAGTCAACTTTGGGCTATATTCAGAACAGGGTCAGCCGTATGGTCAATTTCGTTAATCATTTCAATGGGACTCACAAACTTCCATCGAAACTTCCTAGATTTACCTGAAGAAGAGGATAAGAGCGGTGAATGAGTTAAGGAACACAATAATTCACAGCTGTCTAGATGAATTTATGCGCAGAAATTAGTTTAACCTAGCTACGAGAACTCCTATGAGAAACTGGAAGCTTTTCTCTGGGCATGTGGAAGGAATTTATTTTTTATAACTACTTTTTAACGGCATATAGCGTAAACATAAACGTCTTTTTCAAATTACGCACTTCTGCTTCTGACTGGTGGGTAGAGATTTGTCAAGGTCTTTATCATGTAGTTTAGAGGCTGAGGGCTGCTGCAGTTTAAAATCACCTCGCTTTGTGCTGAAGTGAAACAAAATGCAAGATTTAGATGCAGGCAAAGTCAAGGTCATTAGTTCTTTATTTCAATTTGAATTGTTTCAAACACTCCGTTAGGATAAAAGTAGTCCCAGAATGCCTTCACGCATAGTACAGTGAACTATACAACGGGTATCCCAGCTGTATAAAACAACAGTATGACAACATTAACATTCGAAATGATAACAGTTTTCAAAGAAGTTGAACTTTGGGCATATGCCTTATGACACCATTAGGTACCAACGGATACATCACTTTGGACACACCAGTCACATGAAAAAGGCCATAAAGTAGGTACTTTTATTAAAATAATGTATAGAAAAGGTGACAAGAATGTTATGCGGGATGCCTTTCTCAGAATTGTGACAAAAATGTTCGCCATTTTTCCGTAGGATTATTAATAGAGAAGTTAAACCACATTCTATACATAAATTTATCTAAGTAGCTGTAAATATTATGACTTTCTGAAGATGATTCCTTTTACTATGCTGCAGTACATCCACGTTTTCACGTTCTAATATGTGCTAACGCTGTACACGGTCAACGACGAACAACGTTGTATTAAGAAACACGAGTGAAAACTTAAAAAGATATATTGTTAACGAAATCGAATTTTCAAAATGCGTGAGGTGTACGAAAAAAAGCATAACTCTGTAAAATATATGTATAACAAATGAAAAACCATATTCAATAATACAATGGCAAATATTCAACAAGCATAAGTAAAATTAGTTTCTGTAAGTTTATAAGATGCGTAAATGAATTAGTTTTGTAGGCGTACGGTTAGGCTTAATATTGAGAGGCTACAATAACACCCCTCTGAGATCCTTCAATGATTCTAATCTTATTCTACAATCTTCCGCAAAATCCTTCAGTAGAACTGGTATGGGTGCTTGTAGTGGGATCCACAAAATCGCTAGAATGGATGACTTTGGTCAATGTGCCCAAGGGACGATAAAAAGTTATAACCCTCACACTCATCTGTGGATATTGTAGACTCAGGTTTCACCAGTCTGACAGTAATGAAATAAGAGAGCAGATTTTATGTCTGGTATTATCTCGACGAATCGTTTCCGTAAAGTGATACTGTACAATCCAATCACCCAAACGCTATTTGCATTTTCGCAAGCTTGGTTGCGACTCTTCTTTATTAGGACTGTTTCATCTACACGTACTACAAAACCTTCTCCCTCCCCCCAGTAAAGACGTCACCTTGTCGATGTTCCGAAATGCAGTATATCTTCAGTGCTGGCACCACTGAGTGGTTGAGATTAAACTCTTTTTCGCCGTAGCAGCTGTAGCTCTAATAGTGTTTAAAAACCCACTTATTACAAATACAACGGCCGACGTGTCCACCAACAGATTTACTGAAGCCTTTTATGGCCAACTTTACGCACCAATAAGTACCAGTAGAGTGCGACCGCACCAATGACCTGGAAGTGCTCAGTGAGCAAGTTAGGAAAACCTGCTAAATGATGTTGTAATCATGAATAAAATGGGCTTATTGAAGTGCTATGTTATTAAATGGGATATCTGGTAAGTTTCAGGTTAGACATGAGAAAAAATAAGTTAAGCCTTATCCCAAGGGCAGGTTACGGTTAGGTTAACCTAATGGGGACAATATTAGGTTTAGTTCGAGATAGTTTGGGGTTAGTGAAGGGATATTTTTATGTTAGGGGTAACTCTAAACTATAGTAGCCCAAACCGAAACTACCTAGCGAACGGATGAATGACCTTGACGACGACAACTTTGAGCAATCAGAAGTGTCTATAGTAACAGCGCGTAATTTGAGTGAAACGTTTATATATAAGTAATCCAATGTTAAAAAGTAGTTACAAAGGATAGCGTTTTCGCATATTTTCCAGAAACACCTCTAAATTTCTGATAGGAGTCTTGATACTTATTTTAAACCAAGTCCTGTACATAAACTCATCGAGATAACCGTATGTCATAGCATTTCTTGATCCATTCACAGATCTGATCCTTTTTTTGAGGTGACTCCAAAATTTTTCGGTGGAATTAGTATGAGTTCCATCGAAAGGATTGATGAAAACATTTGTATGGTTGACGACGTGATGAATATAGCCCAGGGTTGATAGATGACTATAACTACTCCATTCATCGGTATGAATAGTTGTTCCAGGCAGCACTAAGTGCTGGATAATAGGCAATAAGACATCTGCACTGTGATTAGAGATCGATTCAATGTATCCTTTGTGGGGGGTGGTGTCATATATCCCCAACACCCACTACTGATTTGCACTTAATCTCCCTCTGTTATATTTTCTTTTTATCAACACTGTCTCATCCAAGTTGTAGGGGACTTATGTTAGAGTCCACTAGTATTACAAAATATGAGAAATATTAATTCAAGTCAATGGAATGTTAAGTAACAGTATATTACCAAAAATGCAACAACACGTTATATCAACAAAAGGGTTACTTGGAAATAAAGTTTAAGTCCTCTGCTACAAATTATTTATATAACCCACGGAGACGTTAGTTGTTTGGACGGAGTAGGTTGTAGCTGCTGTGTCCCGGTTGTAGAATTGTCTTCGGTTGAGCGTAGTGGACTTCTACAATAAATCCGAAAGATACAACACGGTGAGAGCTGAGTTAGTAAGCCGAAGAAACCAAGGAGAAGACGAAGTCTTCAACAGCAGAGTGTATTTTTCAATCGTACACGGAAGCCAAGTGTATTTCAACAAGAAGCGTTTTAAACAAAAATTATGTACAATATGTCTAATTTCTACAAATAACCGAAAAGTGTACAATCACATTGTTACGCACTCCACAAAGTGAACAATGACGCCAACTCCGCCAAATACTTGAGTCAGCCTGTTCATTTTCCATGATGTTATGTCTCTGTAGTACTGGTACCACTGCACTGCAGACACTTCTGAATATTCTGATTCGTACGCTGATGCTGTTACTGGTCTTTTAAGCACCCAGTTATGACACATAATTAAAATTTTCGTTAGAGGTACCTTAGACTTGGCGAAAAATGTACCTACGGAATCTGTTCAATAAAAAAGAACAGCATATCTTCTCGAACTAACTTTCTGTTTTGACACTCA